TGATCCCAGAGCACCCCGTTCAGCATCGCGATGGCTCTCCTGCCCTGGATGATCCTGTCCTTAATTGCTCTATCCATCCTTCCATCCTGATCGAGCCAAACACCGAGATACTTATACTCGTCACACTCCTCGATGCGCCGTCCATCCTCAAGCTCTATGCTTTGCCGTTGATGCGCTGCTCCCACGACCAGCCTCTGTCTTGGACACACTAACGTCCATGCCCCATTTCCGATATTCTTCGACCAACTTCCGCGTCATGTAATCTGCATCTTCCTCATCTTCAGCTACAACGATCTGGTCATCGGCAAAGCATAGAGTATAAAGGGTCTGCCCATCAACGAGTGGAACGCCCATTCCCGCAACCTTATTCTTCCATTCCTTTAACACGTGCTCTAGGTATACCTTAAATAGTGTTGGTGACAAACAACAGCCTTGTTTTAGCCCTTTTGTGACGAAAAAACCTCCGGACAACTCTCCACGACATTTAATTTTTGCTATCGTCCCGTTATAAAATGATTTAATTGCCCCCACAAGTCCTTTGCTAAAACCCCTTTTTTCCAAGGCTTCCCAAAGCTTCACTAACGGCACGCTGTCATAAGCTTTCTGAAGATCCACAAACACCAAGTGCAGCTCCTGGCTGACCGCCCTTTTCTTCTCGATGACCTGGGTAATGGTGAACAAATGGTCGACGGTAGACCTACCGGCTCTAAAACCAGCCTGTTCTTCGGCTTCCTGGCCGCTCCAAACCTCCAAACCTCCTAGAGGATGAGTATTCAGAAGTAAATTTTTAAGAGAGGGTAAGGGGCAGGGAAAGGTAGGAAGGAAGGAAGGAAAGAAGAAGGAAGGACGCTCATATTATTCAATACGAAATTCGCTCAAACTGTATATTAGGTGTATTAAAATTTCGAATATTTTTTGTGAGAAACATCCCGTACCCCTCTCTCACCCCCCGTTTGAAGCGTCTGGATCCATCTATGAAAGTAGGACCTTCGTAAGAAGAGTTCGGTCTCTGAAGGATCACCTTCTGAGTGGCTTACTGTTTTTAGGCTTTACAAAGCTCTTGGGATGAAAACTGCGTGCAATGTGGACGGAGCTATGAACTNGGGGGGGGGGGGGGCAGGGACGACTCGTTGAAGAAGGTCCAGTTCAGGGGACATTGAAAGACGCTCCATCAAGGAGGATTTGTGGGTTACCCGAGGAACTCAGGAGATTTCCCTAGCCTTGAGGGGGATCCGGGGGGTCTCCTCTGGGAAAACTGTGTCACTTTTTAATAACTATCGGGCGTCACTATTCTCCGGTGCATTTATCGGTTTTTGTGCTAATTTTACGTATATATCATAACTGATCGATTCTAATGCGTGAAATGCGGCACACGATTTTTCATCAATTTTTTTTAAAAATGGTCTCTAAAAGTGTCAAAGAATTCAATTTTCTTTTTGAAAATATAAAATGGCCGCACACCTGGAAACATCATATTTGATACACTTTAATACTTATCTTGGCAACAATCTCGTAACTGAATCATTGTCCTGCCAAACAACGAAAAAGGTATTGTAGTTCAAGCGCAGAGGCAGAGATAGATACGGTGAAAATGTAATTTGCTGAGCTGGAGGGTCTCTCACGAATTGAAGGCGCACTGTATTTGTTAGAGTCAAATGAGAGAATGAGACACTGATGGTATCCTATTCTGCGATTACACTGATGATTCTTAACCCCCTGCCTCTAAAATTCAAGTATTTTACAGTGCCAATAATCGTCAATATTTTCTTGCTTTGCAATTTTTGGAGAATATACGCACATCGCAATTTTTGTATTTTATAAACAGATGCTCAGGAAATTACATTCAGTCAAAATTTGGCTGCCTTAAGTACGCTCCTCGGTATTCTTTAACTGTGTTCTTTGTATTCTTTTAACTTTATTCTTGTTTTCGTTTAATGTTATCTATTATCCTGACTAAGTTGTTTTAAAATCTTTACTGCGGTATTTTATTTTTAGACGGAAAAAGAATGAAATCTATTGTTTGATTTTCACAGAATATTCTATTTACAATGAGGAAAAATCAATAAAAATGGTGAGACAGTATATTCTATCGTCTACCTATGAAAGAATGATAGCAACAACAAATTTTCCTGTGTTGCATGATTCGCGAATGGGAAGTGCAAATGTTGAGCCGGAAGTTTGCTTGAAAAATGAAGGCGCGCTGATAGTCGTACTGAACGGAGATACGTGGTTTCGTACTTTGGCCATCGATACATTGTCTCTGTCTGCCAAGCAGCCTGATTTTTGAAATTTTGTGTTTGTCGACCGGTTCAAACAAGATTGAGGATAATTGAGTTCTATGACTGGTCAGCTTTATCCTTCGTCTCCTTTTTCTCGTCGATAAATGATGTAATGATCGAGAAGCTAAGGGCATCTCTTGGGTTGCTGATACTATGTCGTTGAATCCATCCTTTATCGACGACAAAAAGAGTACGAAGGATAAAACTGACCAATCACAGAACTCAATTCTCCTTAATCTTGTCTTAACTGGACGACAAACACAACATTTCAACCATCAGGATGCACGGAACTAAAATTTTAAATAGGCAAAAAGATGAAGCCCTCGTAACTCACGTAATCAAATCTCAGATCTTAATCAATTCAAAGCCTTCAAAGTCAGTCATTTAAACCATTTTTGTCATCAGAATATGACGGGAAAAACTTATCAACACAAATCTAGATTCATAATACATGAATCGCTGATCGCCTATTAATTGTAGTGCACGCACCTCTACTGCAGTGTATCAACATTTCTGCTTCTATTTTATTTTTTCGACGAAAAACAAGCCAACTTCACGGATACAATTTTTTACAGAATATATGCTAACAGGGAAGGAAAATCGCGTCCTAAAGCGTCACTGCCACACGTGTGCTGGAGTCCAGCAAATACGTAGCGACAATCCCCGTGATGCCAGTGTTCTCCTTGCGCGAGTATCGGAGACTGAAGAAAACCGAATGGGTGACCGGGCGTCGCAAGTACTTGCGGTAAAACGAGCTAGTCTCGTTCCGGTATCCGACCCCATCCATCATCGTCGCGATCTCCTCGGGGGAGTAGTGGTCGAAGACGAAGAGGAGACCGTCCACCCTCTGGATGACGATGTGGTGGCAGGCCCGAAAACAGGGGAAGTATACGACGACCGGGAACCTGTCTTGGTTCAAGTACGGCAGCGTGAAAAGCGGAGCGTCTAGCTGGATCACCCGTCGTCCGTCCACCGTTCGCAGAAGTGTTTTGATTGCCGTCGTCAAGTTCAGGCAACTGGCCTCGAAGCTTGCGTTGCTGTGAGTCTGGAAGCCATCCAGTGCGCTCAAGTAGCCGTCCACGTCCTTCAGGCTTATCCCCCAGGAGCCGGCCAGAAAACACTGCAAGCAGTTACAAGAAGAAAAGGATATCTCGCAGAACTCCCACTTTGGTGTTCCCGAGACGAAAGAATGAAACTGAATTTCAACGAGGTAAATCTACGGACAGAAACAACCCGCTGTAAATCGAGCGTGGTGAAATGGAGATATGGCACCGACGACAGATGTGAGTGTGGAGAGATCCAGGATTTTGAACATATCTCCTAGGATGTCCTCGAATGAAATCGGTCTGCACTAGGGATGACCTAATTTTAGCAAATGACGCTGCAACTAATGTTGCTAATCACTGGAGCTCCCAGATTTAAATTTTTTTAATACATTCTATAACAAGGTTTAAATGCATTTTGTTAATGATTTTTTTGTATATGTCTGTTACTCCGGACACGGAAGAAGAAGAAGAACGAGGTAAAATTTTCAGTCGCTATGTTACGAATCGAGGAGTGAAATTTGGTGCCGGAATCTATGTAGCGGCTAAATCCTCGAGTGATATCGTCGCTCCCCTGACGTTACAGCATATCTCAATTTCCACGCGAGTCCTGTTCCCCATGTGACTCTTCCACGTTTTTTGGGGCTCACGTTAAAGTTGAAGTACGTCCTTGCGTCAAAGGAGAGGCGATATGAATGCGAAGTGAAAGAAGCACCATACAAGTCTATGAAATTCCACAAGAAGAGTAGTTTCTTCTCCGTAATAGAGTAAGTCACTCCGTAAGGAGCTCAAATTTTGTTCCGCATTCATAACAAGCAGGGTTTTGGGGCGATATGTAGACTCCGGCATAGGATTTCACTCCGAAATTTTTAACAGTACGCGAATCGTACTTTTATTCGGACACTCTTGGACGGTTTTAACTAAAAATTCTCTTCCAATTGTACTCAAAAATCAGCAAAGATTGAGGCAGAAACTGCACATTTAATTTCTTGTGAAAAAATTTAATTCTAAGAGCCAATTTTACAACCTCAGGAAATCTGAGTTTCGTTCTTTCGTTTTTGAAACGACAACTTGTATAAACGGATAAAGTAAAACACACCTTCTGAAATCCAATAACTTCTTCGCAGGAAACTTCATCGCATATCGACGGTGAAAGTCGGCAATCACATAACTCGGTTTGCGACGTCGCAAACTTCCTGTCATACTTTATTTTTTTAACGGAAAACTACTCAACGGTAATTCTTTAAAACTGCCGTGATTGTTCTTCTATGTGCTAGGAAAATTCTGCAAAAACTTCAAGGGATGGTGTCAATTTGTTCTCCTTTAAAAAAATAACATAGTTGCGGAGATTTTCAGACACCGCAAACGAGTTATGTGATTGCCGACTTGCACCGTCGATATGGCATCGCCCTAAAGAATACGTAATTCACTACCCCGTATCAAAATAACAATGATTGATTTGGAGTTCGCGTTGAGAATATTTGACCAATTTTACAGTAAGAATGAGGTTTCTGTTCTAATTACTTTCATGCTAAACTGAAAGCTGTTGAGCTTCTTTCAAGCACCTCGAAAGTGCAAAAACATAATTGGTACAGACTCTAAACCATACCATCAAAAAATTGCAATTTAATTGAGGTGCAGTCGCAGGAGAAAACCCTAACGTAGATATGTCCAATAGTTGTAGTTGTAGTTGCCTATTGTCTCAATTTAAGGCGCCAAAATGATCTCTACTCTCTTAATTGAGGACACCGCACCAAGAACAGCCTATGGGCGTATAGATCGTTATTACGCCCATCTGTTTTTCGGATTCTACGTACCCTGGACTATGCTGTGGTAGCGATAGAATATAGATAGGTAACGGCTCGAGGTCGAAAAACCTTTTTTTTTCCGAATTAAGAACGACCTATACGCGCGGCATTATCATTCTCGGTTCGCGGGCATCATCGGCGCGGCGCGGCGATATAGTGATGGCTCAATTTTTTGATCTCATTTTATAAAGATTTGTTTTTATTTCAGAAAAACGAGCTATTCAAATAATTTATTCTCCTCTCAAACTATCCATTCCTCCAAAAATGTATACTTCGTATATTGCCACCAAAATGACTGTTGGGCGTAATATGGGCCATTAAACTTAAGGGCCTATAAGGTGCTAGTTACCCCTTTCTTTACTCACTATCGACATTCTTTCATTTTGCGTTAATCATGCGTGATTAAGATTATTTATACTTCATATTGCCACCAAAATGACTGTTGGGCGTATTAATGGCCTATAAACCGCTTTTTTAAATTAAATATATTAGAGTGTAAACCCAAAATGTATCGCAAAATCTACCCGGCATCCTTCAATAGAAGGGTTCGGTTACCCAAAAACACCAAAACAGGGTACCTGCATAGAAAAGTCTGCGCAGTTTATCAAAAACAATACTTTAAATGCGTTTTCCTCAAACGCGGTTTCCAGTTATACGCAATTCCGGAGAGTTCAAATAGTTGTATCATTGCGCCTTAGAAATGTGACGGAAGATTACAATTGAAATAGCCTCCATGCACGCTGGCTTTTTCGATTTCCGGTACCATTTCTGCAGTCATGAATGCATAGCTTAAGTACCCTTCAGCTAGAATTGTATTCAGCAAATGGGTGGTTTTTATAGGAGGATTATAAATAAACAAGTGGTTAAAAATGAAAAAAAAATAATATGAACTATTCAAAACGATAATCCGGGTATCGGAACTTGGCTGATTTTAAAACGCCTTCAATAGCGGCGTGATACCCCACGCATTCTGGAGAGTTCAAATAGTTGTATCATTGCGCCTTAGAAATGTGACAGAAGATTAAAATGGAAATAGCCTTCATGCACGCTGGGCTTGTCGATTTCCTGTGACATTTTTGCAGTCATGAATGCATAGCTCAAGTGCGCTTCAGCTAGAATTGTATTCAGCAAATGGGAGGTTTTTATAGGAGGATTATAAATAAACAAGTGGTTAAAAATGAAAACAAAATAATATGAGCTATTCAAAACGATAATCCGGGTATCGGAACTTGGCTGATTTTAAAACGCCTTCAATAGCGGCGTGATACCCCCACGCATTCTGGAGAGTTCAAATAGTTGTATCATTGCGCCTTAGAAATGTGACAGAAGATTAAAATGGAAATAGCCTCCATGCACGCTGGGTTTCTCGATTTCCTGTGACATTTTTGCAGTCACAAATGCATAGCTCAAGTGCGCTCTAGCTTCAATTTTATTTGGCAAATGGGAGGTTTTTATACGAGGATTAAAAATAAACAAGTGGTAAGAAATGAAAACAAAATAATATGAACTGTCCAAAACGATAATCCGGGTATCGGAACTTGGCTGATTTGAAAACGCCTTCAATAGCGGCGTGATACCTCACGCATTCCGGAGAGTTCAAATAGTTGTATCATTGCGCCTTAGAAATGTGACGGAAGATTACAATAATTCAGGTACGTACAATTACGGCATCTAATGTGGGTGCGCGTTGCCTATCCTCGCTCTTGTGGGCGCAGGAATTATCTCCAATGATCATAGTGTTGGATAACAAAAAAATTTGATGAGAATTCCAGTTCGGTATCCAAACTTTTCTAATAAACTGAAACTTTATCCTCAGTTTAATCCTTTATCCATAGCTTTTCCTTACTTGAAAAGCGCTTCTGGGAGCTTCCACCTAGAGCGAATTAATGATAATAGAGAACCAAATTCAGCGACAGAGAATCAAGTCAAATTGATCGACTAGTGTCGATAGTATTTGTGCAATTAGTTCCTCTCTACTTTGAATTAAATACCTTCAACAATATGAAGAGAAGTCGAGTTTTACCCACTTTGTTTCTTTCCGTGATTTTAATTTGGTTCTTATTCCCATCATCTGGAAGGTACTTAGTGGTGATTTTCCATCAAGTGCAATTTTCTTTACAGAGGTGAATAAAAATATCAAATCATGTTGCTTATCAAAATTATACACAAGACGTTGAGCATAAACCTGAAATTAACTAGTAATTCTTAATTCCATAATGCAGTCCAATAGTAAAATTCCTTGATACATGTATAGGTTATCAATAAACTCACCAATATTATAGCACTAAAGCTTGTTGCAAGACAAGAAAATAATGCTTTCTTAATTTGCATTCTAACTAGACACGATACTCATGAGAATAAGTTTAAAGGAAAAGCAAAGAATAACTTCATGAGGTGCGAATCAAGTTTAACTGAAAAGTGTAAACACTTAAAATAATTTGATGCGAAAGAAACGAATTTCGATGTACATTTGACACCTCGTTCATTCTGCTTGAAAGTTCTTTGTGTTCTCCCAATATTTTATCTGATATTATGAAGCACGTTACAGTCGTAGGAATGTGGCAATGCTGAACGCATCTAGGTCGTTTCGATCAAATTTTTCTACCTGCTCTTTTCATTCCTGTTGGAGGTGATGTGTTCTTATCAATAGACCACTAAACAAGGTACGAATTTATGCATTCTAATATACGTTTCGTCTCCAAACTCACGCTAAGAACACGATTCGCTATGCGAAACTCATTGAAATCAACCTTTAACGAAGATATTAACCTTTTTATTTAGAATATATTGGTTGGTAAAAATTTGAATTTCCCGCTCAAAGCTAAAACTAAAGTTTATATATATATCAAATCGCGTAGTACAACCACACCCGCGCCTGCGTGTGGCAGGCTTCTAAAGGCCTGGATACACGCTCACATTTCCATCAATTTCCGATCAAATGGTGACTGGTGCGCACCATCTACCATTAATTTTTTGGGGCCTGCAAAAATTTGATGGTATGATGACGTATGATGACGCCCCCCGCTTAGCCCGCCGCACAGTAGATCGAGTCAATCGAAGAGGTCGGGACATGAAATTTTTTACTAAAACTGCAAAATTTGATGTTTATTTTGTCACATTTTAAATTTTCAGGGGTGCTTTCAGAGGAAAATGTCACGATTCGAGGAAACCAATGGAACCATAATTTAAATCTCAAAGTTTTGATTTATCGGAGTTATTAGCTTTTAAAGTTTCAAAATGTTGTCCGACCTCTCCCATTGACTCGATCCACTGTGCGTCGTTTGAAAACAAAATCGCTGCTGTATAGTTCGCCTTCAAATTTGGCGATGCAGCCCAACCCCACACCGAAGTTAATTAAGTTGTATCCACCGATTGGCTGTACTCTGAATGTTTTTATGAATCCTGAGGACCTTTCAAATACATTTGAGGAATTATCAATAAATTGTGAAGACACGCATAGCCATATGCTAAGGTACCACGTCGTATGAGCATTCGAATGTTGCCAAATGTCTCTCGATAAAGATGTATTTTTACAGAAGGTTATGAATATTTTCCTATGAATGTTTCAGATGATTTAGATCGAATTACCAACAAGCTTCACCGGAAAATCGGAGGGAAAATATTCACAATTTTTCCAGAAAATCGATTTTTTTATTAATGGAAATTTGGCAAAAGCCGATCAATGTTCATGCGGTGTTTTCCATAGCAAGGCAGTGTAGATTTCATCCCTATTCGTGCAAATCCTCCTCATCGCGAACTAAGGATATGGTCCAGGCGCCTGGTAGCTAAAAATGAGGCTATCTGGAATTTCGGGTACACAACGATTTTTTTGACTAGCTCTATGTTTTTTGGGTCGCTGAATCCGAATCTGAAGTTTCCTACCGCGTATCTGGTGAACATTTTCCGCCATATTGAAAAAATTGCCTAAAAATGCCTTTTTTTGCGGTTTTTTTGATATAGCGGCTATGCATGAGAAAAAGTCCCGGATTTAGTTAATGTTTTGAATAGCTGACATAATTTGGAAGAAAATGGTGTATACATATGCTAGGTTTGCTTAAAAATTGAGGAAGATACAGCATCGTGAACATCGCGCCTTTTCACGTTTTCGCGGCGCACCCGTCAACGCGCGATCCGGCTCGCCGCGGTCAGCCAAGTTCCAAAGCGTTCCAAAGTTCCCAGATCCGAGGTTCCTCAATTTTTGAGCAAACCTAGCATATTTATATACCATTTTCCTCCAAATTTTGTCAGCTATTCAAAATATTAACTAAATCCAGGACTTTTTCTCATGCGTAGCCGCTATATTAAAAAAACGCAAAAAAAGGCCTTTTTAGGCAATTTTTTCAATAAGGCGTAAAATGCTCACCAGATACGCGGTAGGAAACTTCAGATTCGGATTCAGAGATCCAAATTACATGCTGTAAGCCAAAAAAATCGCTGCGTACCCAAAATTCCAGGTAGACTTACCATGCGCCTGGACTAATAACGATGATGGTTACAGCCTGCCAGTTGACCTCCGCGCCGCACAGTGGATCGAGTCAATAAAAGGAGGTCGGACATATGAACTTCGTGACTAAAATTGCAAATTTTATTTCGTCACATTTTGAATTTCAATGGATAGTTGTCGCAGAAAAGTTCACGAGGCAACCAATATGGAATCACTTTTAGAACCTCAAAGTTTTGTATGAACGGAGTTATAAGCGTTTAAATTTTCCAAATTTTGTCCGACCTCTCCTATTGACTCGATCCATTGTGCGCCGCTTGAAAACAAAACCACTGCTGGTTCGCCTTCAACTTCGACGATGCAACCCAATCCTACACCGAAGTTAGTTAAGTTGCATCCACCGATCGGCTGTATTCTGAATGTTTCTACGTTTTCAAAATTTCCCCAGAAAATCTTTGTTTTATCGGAGGGTATTTAGCAACAGCCAGTGGCGTAACGGACTTCCGCTGGGCCCCCCTGCAAAATTTTTTCTAGGCCCCCCCTCCATGTCGATAAAATTCCCCCCTCCCGCCCCTCTACTTCCCTCGCCCCTTCCCGTTTTTTGGCCCGAGAAATTTCAAATCACGGACTTGGACTTGGAATGCCTCTCCCCTCACTGTCCCGGATCCCGTGCCCGATTAAATGGGGCCCCTAAAGGATCAAGGACCTAAAGGGTGGCGGGGGCCCAGCCCAGGCCCAAGGATCTACAAAAGGGCCCATGCAGGCCCAAGAATCGAAGGGCCTCCAAGGGCCTTGTGGGCCCTTTGGATTCATGGGTCACCCAAAGCCCGAAATACCTACGAAAAGTGACAAAAAAGAGAAAAATTTTAGTAATCACTGAGTGGACATTGGAAGGCAGGGGCCCTTCAGCAAAAAAAAAGTTAGGAACAGTCTAAAAAAAAGTATGAAAAACCCTGAGCTAACGATAAAAATCAGCGGAAGAAGCCCCATCTCGGTAGGTAAAGGCCCAAAGTTTGAAACCAAAGCTAAGCATTAAAGAGATAGAGAAAAACAAAATTTCGGCGGCCGAGGGCCCCCTAGGCGCTTGGGCCCCCCTGCATAGCAGGGTCTGCGGGGGCGCCCGTTACGCCACTGGCAACAGCCGACGACTTCTACGGCGTTTTTTATTATCATGGCGGCATAGTTTTCATCCCTAAACTACATCCTCTTCTTAGCGAAACAATGATGACGATGGTACGTACAACCTATCAGTTGGAGCACCACACCGCGCCGCGGCAGTAGGTATGCGAGGGACTGCCAAGGAGACTTGAACGCACAGCTAGAAACATAGAGGTCACTTTCAAGCTCTCATTTCCTTAGGTTTATGTGGTTTGGTTGGGTCCATGTGGCTCGTTGACTTATATTTTGTTCCTATCAACATGGGTAGCAAAAGAGAGACTTCTAGGGAGACTTTAACGCAAAGCTAGAAAAATAGAGGTCACTTTAAACTCTCATTCCCTTGGGCTACTTCTGGAGCGTATAATTCATTGATACATAGATTGCTTGTATTGACAATAAGAACCTATAACGGCTGCTGAATGACTCGAATAAAAATAACTAACAAAGTAACTATGACTTACATTCGAGGAATTATCAGTTCATTAACGGACACATACTGCCATGCCACGGAAAAACATAGTGTTGACAAGGTGTCTTCTAAAACAGGCTGGCCAAAAATTATTACTTTTACAGTGTTTTTTCAGTACACTGCCAAGAAATTCATTCCCGGGCTCCATGACAGAAAAATTCAGTACTTTTTCAGTACCTTGATTTAACGTTTGAAAAATGTCAAGCATTTGAAATTTTCGATGGAATGGCGACGAAAATGACGTGGACAGAAAATTGCATTAGTGCGCACTCAAAAAAAGTTGCGGTATACATCGTATAGACATACCGTCCGTTTCAGGCTCAGAGACCGACATTTCTGGGTGCTGGAGCCGTAGTTTCGACTGTTCTGGGTGCTATATCCAGAACTTTCGGCCTCGAAGCCCGGAACGCGGACGATATGTATATACAGTCCATGAGTACGGCTCCCACGGCCGGAGTTCTTTTTTCCAGTGACGGCTTGTAGATTAACTTGAATCAAGATCACACAAAACAATCACACAGAATCAAGATCAACTAACGATAAGATCTTGTAGGTAGGCAAATATTATACTCAAAGATTCAACGCACAGGGGATTGCATCCTTTCCAGGCTTTAATTTAAAAACACGCGTGGTATGAAGGAAAAACTTCCGGGCCTTCTTGCGGAATTTCCGCACTTTTTCAGCACTTCTGAAACGCCCTTAAAAATCCAGAAAACACCCTGAGAGATAATGATATTAATTTTATAAAAAGTAAACAAAGAGAAAAATTTCAGAAATTTGTATGCAGTTAATGCAATTTTTTTTTTTGGGGGGGGGGGGGGGNNNNGATGCAGAATTGTTTTGAGAGGTGACATAAATTAATAAAAAAAAATATGAAGTTCAAATCAATATTTTATTATTTTGAATAATAATTTGCTTGATTTTGTTCCCAGTCTTCTAACAAAAATAACACAATAGAAAATATTTATAAAAATGCAAAAATAGAAGTGACAATTTTTTTTCTCTAAAAACGAGGAAAACAATAATATAAATGTAAATGCTGAGAAAACTTACAGCAGTTGGTAAACTTAAAAATCTTAAAATTTAACAGTACTTTTCATCAGGATTTTAACAAAATAGACACCTAAGTTAGTAACGATTTTAAAATGATTTTTCTAGAAATGTATTCACTAAAGATCATAAAGGTTTTGCAGTTGCTGAAGACTTGCTATCTCCTCCCTTCACTTTTGATTAATGTAAGATTAGGAATTCCCTAAACACTTTCTGAACTCTCTGGAAAAATGGCTACATGCTACAAAATTAATCAAAGAAAAAGTTAAGTAGCTAAAAAATTATGAAATCACACTCTGAAATGCTTTATGGAGTTCTGTGACAATTCACCAAGTATATTCAGCCATAGTACATAAATTTAAAAAATTAACAAATGAGTACATTATAAAAAAGAATAATATCAGAATCAAGACAACAAAAACTAGACATACTTAGGCAGGAGAGATCTGTCTTTAAAGAAAAATACAAAAAAACGTATCTTTAGTAAAGAACTATGAGATACTGAATGTGAAATTGTTTCTGAAAAATATGTTTGTGGAGTGATCATTTTTGTACAATGGCATCAAATCACCTCTTGGTTTTGGTTTTAATTGAAAATATCAACGAAGATCCAATTATAAACACAGCAAACTCACAATCAGCCCCTCCCCCCCCCAAAAAAAAAACTGATTGGAATGGCTACACATCAAGGAAAGAAAGCAAAAATTAATAACATTACCTGCAAGCCATTGCAGTCAGCAGCGTAATTAGAGAAAGGGGGGATTGCATAGGGAATGTGCGTGCACTCCCCCCCCCCTCCGTTCGCCCAAAAAAAAGGAGGAAAAAAAAAAGAAGGAAAAAGGAAGGAAGGAACGAAGGAAAGGAGAAGGAATGACGCTTGTACATGGGGATTATTCATTACAAAATTGACTTGAATTGATCATTAGATGCTTAAAATTTTGAAAAATTTTCTGCGGGACGCCCCCTGGACCCCCCCTTCCACCTCCTCCGTTCGGAATGCCTTAATCCACCTCTGAAATTTTTCCAAAGCAAAAGTGGGAGTCAGAACATATTCCAGGCCTACAATGTCAAAATAACATGTGTTTCATATTTGAACTACAAGGTACATTTGTTGTTAAAAGGGGCTCCATTTAGACCAGCTTTACCTAGGAGAAACTTACCAAGCTGCACTTTGAAAAAAATGAGTTATGAATAGTTGAGAATTCAATAACTCTCCTAACGATATTCGAAGACAACATAAATATTTTGAAAATAAGGATATTTGCTAAGCAGTGTCTAGCGCACTGAGTCTTACAGAGGAATAAAACTTCAAACCTCCGTTTCTCACTTCAAACTCAATACGACTTGGTGCGCTTCTGATTAACTTGTTCCGTTGGTTCTACAGGCACGATTCAATACAGAAAAAACCTCAATGCTTTATTATTGACTTTTACCATTGATATTCGATGTTTTTCCTTCCATCATGAGTTTATAATCCTTTTGATCGCTCACCATTTTCTTAAAGACATTATACTTCCTTTGGTTGTAACTGGAACAGAAAAACCAAATTGTAATGCTAATTAATCAACATACATTTAGAAAACAAGAACTTCTTGGAACTTCAAGAACTGATATATGCTCAGCATGCAATGGGACACTAGACAAGAAGGGAACTAAAAAAATAGTCACGGGTTTTCTCTTCTAAATATTACGCAAAAGACGATTAACACAACGGACAGTACGGAAATCAACTCCTGAATGAGATACTAAAAAGTATTTTTAACGGAGATTAAATGGAAATTACTTTAAACAGATGGCGTCACTTATATTTTTGCCATTCAACCAATGTTCATTATAAACATCCATTTTAAGTCGTTGGGTTAATTTTCAAACTTTCAGCTTTGTGATTCATTTACCCTATGAAATTTCTAAGAGAGCATACGTTGTGTGGCGCTTTAATTCACACTTCATCGAGATGATATTAAACTTCATGTTTTTTCGACCAATTACATTAGGAATTTCAGAAGCGATAGGACACAAGAGATAACAATTCAAAATGAGAGAGGTCGAAAATTATAATTAGATACACAGATAAACGGATGAACAAAAATTGGAAACAAACATAACTGGAGCGTATTGGGCTAACTACATGCCAATTCCGTAAGAAAACAGAAGCAAAAAATAATAAACTACTAAAGAGCAACAAAATTTTCATTGTGCTATATTAGCTTTTCTTGGTAGAGAATTTGATACGAGTGAAAAATAGGAAAAAAAGTTAATAAATTTTGTGAACTTACTCTTTCAGCACAGTCTTAGGTAAAGTTACTTGAGCAGATCCTGTCATGGATGACATAGCATCTGCTACACTGGCATATATGCCCGATGCATAAGCACCCAACATGGCTGCTCCAAGCAACACGGAGTCCTGAGAATCTTGACGAAGTACCGGAGTTTGTAAACAGTTGGCTAAAGTCTGCATGAATAATGGGCTCTTACTCAAACCGCCACAAACAAGTAAAGCTCTGAACTTTTCATAACCAGCATCTTGAAGCGTTTCCAGAATGTGCCTTGCACCATACTGAAAGAGTTGAAAAATAAAGATCGGTTATTGTGGTCTAGAATACAGAAAACTGTTAATTTTGATCTCTGTTCAAATCTGCGGCTTCAAAATCTTATGTTTGTTACTGCACAAGATTGGAATGAAGAACTGTAGATACATTTAGTGATTGAGATAAAAATTATGAAATTCGAACTAACTTGCAAATTAATAAATCAAAATTTTGCAGATGTTTTTCAAATACTGGATCATCTTCAATGCAACATGTCGCACCGAAGTCTGCAAAAATTTTGATCTATTGACATGCAGGTGAGCTCAGTTTTCTTTATTTTTATTTTGTTGTTAAACATTAAAATATCATGTGTAGTCTTGTCTCGACTATTTAATTTGCTTATTTTGGTGAGAAAACATATTTAAAACAGAAAGTAAAAAATTCAAACTCGAAAATTAAAATTTAAACACTGACCCATTCCAGAAAGCTCATTTGGTATTTTTCTCAGGAACAAAGTCATAATACTAGAGTCTTTGAAAATACTATAAAATCGATACAAAAAAATTAAATTAATTAAATACCCCCTCTTGGGAAAATGAAATACTTTTCAAGACTTGATCACAGTTATCATCTAGAATAAACTTGCCAAGAAGACCTCTATTTCCATTACCTATTGCTGCACAAAAATGAAATGCATTGATGGATCGGGGAAGGAAATGTATTGCAGCTCTAGTTTGTTAATCTACAAAATTCCTTCCAATGTGATATTTTGAGCATATAACAAGGAAGAAGATAGTGGTCAGAGACTGGCACTGGTCGTGAAAAAGAACACTCTCAGTGCCACACTGATAGGACTTAGGCGTTAGTTCCTCCTCCTATTCGAAAATGTCTATAGATGAAGAAAATTCCCTTCTTCAAAATCCAGGCACCATTTTCCATCCAAATTCAAGAAAGTTTCCAGAAATTGTATTCTCTTTTTTCAGATACAGTAAATTATATAAATGAAGGAAACATGAAATTACCGATAAAGATTGTAAAGCGGCAAGGTAAAGAATGGCCAAATCTTCCTCAGTGCTGGAGAGGGTGAGACCGCATATCTGCAATGAAAGAATCAAAGCTACAGCTTTTACAGACTGCTACTTTTATTTAACATTACTAGTGGCGATTTTGAAAGTTAGCAACACTGTTTTGCCTTCATTTAAATGTATGCAAAATAATCAATTCCTGGTCAGGCAGCTTGCAACACTAAAATCGATACTTTTAATGGCTTTAAATGGAAGAAACACGGTGTTGCCAACTTTCAAGAATCTCCACTGAACATTACTCACTTCATCTGGGGCAAACATGAGCAACCTGACGCAACGTGAGATAAAAATTGAAGCCTTCTGTTACATGCTTTCTCTTCAAAAGTTTACGTAAAATATTATTCACACAACAAGAAGTTTGAAAAACTACTCTTCAAGCGGATATAAGTGTTTATTATCAGTTAGAAGTTCAGTAAAAATGGCCCGAAACTGTTAGGGTTATGATTAATTTGAAAATTGGAGAAACAAGGCTATTTTGACCAAAAAAAAGACACAAGACGTTTCGCCTGAAATTTTTGGCATTCCCAGTTGAAAATTTTCGACAAAACGTCTCAGATGTTTTTCTTGTGTCAAAATAGCCTTGTTTCCCCGGATTTCAAATTCATCATTACCTAATACGAGAAAACACATGACATGGTGATTTAATTCATGCCTTGTCTGGTGGCCAATTACGTTGAATTGAGTTGTTCCTTCAACATTCAGAGGTTTATTCAACATCTTAGGTCATTTCAGAGTTTGAGAACACAAACTAGCGACATAGAGAAAAACATATTTAGCGCTTTCTGAAATCTATATTGTGCTTTTTATAAAGAACTGCAAATTCAATCTTAATAAATATCCGAGGTAAAACAGGTACATACCATTCCTTTCAGTGAAGGATCTGCTAATGGTGATCTATTTCCATGAAAGTCTGGCCAGACATGCAAATCTTTGGTAAGCTCATCCACATTTTCTACATTACTTTTTTCGGCTAAAGAGTTCAAAACGGAAGAAAGATATTCATAGATGCTCCTGATCGAACAGAAAATTAATCATTCATGGATTAAATGAGGAGTATATTTTGACGGACTTTGTTTAGCTATGCAAGTTCTCACAATATGAGAGAAAATCTACGAGAATAAATATACTGGAGAAAGAAAATTATAATACAAAGTGTTAATGTCAAGCCATTGGAGGCTTTTAAAAAATATAATAAAAAGACACTCCATTTAAATATAAAATAAGGCAAACGCCATGATAAAAAATAACCATCTTTCTCTTTTTTCTCTCCTTTTGGAAGAACAAGCTTATGGCCTGTAAGACTCATGCTCCATACAACATTAAAATAAGAAGGATGGGGGGGGGGGGGACTCTTTTCTCGATATTACTTACATTTTGGAAGGCAATTTTTCTTTGATAGAGGGTGTGGCAGAATGGTTATCTATTATGAAATCAATTAACTTCCCGCTCACAGACTGTCCGCCTTCGTTTAAATACATTTGAGGGACCATTGCACTGTAGTATGGACCCCAAACACCTTCAACAAATAGGGGCTTGTTGGCAACGCACATGTAACAGGTTGAAGTCCCACAAATCAGGCCTGAAGCAAAAAAAAAACAAAACAAAAAAAATGTAAATACAGTATAAATTTTGTAAAAGCAGATTTATGAAGTGAATCAAAAGCTGCAATCACCATTACACTGTCGAAAAATTTGACAGACATTCCAATTTTTTAATAGAAGTGACCATCATAATTTCTTGAGTAAAATAATATGAATATAATCATTTCATTAATACATAGGCTATTCTTATGTGAGTATGAAGACAGAGATTTGCCGGCAGTCTTCATAATAAATGAAAGTGATTGCCAATTTTTTTAGACAACAGAAAGTAGATTGCAGTTTCTGATCCTCAGCGCATCATTTGTAACTCTTAACTTAGTTTTTCATCAACTGATGCAAGTTAAGTTTTCGGAGGTAAAGCTAAAAAATTAAAATTTATATGAGAAAATGAATCCTCACTTGAGAATTTTCCCCAAAATTTGCAAGTTGATTCTTCGCAAGTATTTTTTTCTTTTGATACATAAATCATGGGATTTTCATGATATTTTACTACCTTTACCCAGGTTCTTTCCATGTTACATTTCTGATACTTTCTAACAGAAGAAGAGAAACATTTAGACTTACCGATTCTTGTCTCAAAAGAGGGAGGAACAATATCGCTTTGAAGACCAATCAAACCAAGGCCGCCAGCGTGAGCATCAATGATGGATGCTCCGACAGCAGTTCCTTCGGCTAGACCTAATTCAAGAGCTGCCTTTTTGTCTAATCCGTGCCCGCATGGGTCTCCAGGAGATTTTACAATTGAACCTACAATAATGACACAAATCAGAGTAACAAAAATCTAAAAAACTTGTTGCCAATGAAATATGAGTTTATTTGTGAGCAACTTAAATATGAAGTATAGGAATAATTAATACAGTGAGTTGGAATTTTTTAACCAACGTCCGTTAAAAATCAGCATAAATCTGAAAATCTCAATACAGAGGGAAAAAGCTCCTAGGAGCACAATTTTCCCACCAAAGAGATATGCTGTTGGGTGCAACACTGGTTGCGACCATTCAGGAAGGCAACTGTAGACATGTTTCGGGTCTAATTGGACCCATCATCAGTACAGTGCAGCCTCCCAAGTTTTCTTCTACCAAGCTCCATATGAACTTTTTCCATCTTTCATTCTTTATTGAGATTTTCAGCTTCATTTTGATTTTTAAGGCACATTGGTTAAAAAATACCAACTTACTGTTGATACGACTCATGTGTCTACAGCAATCAGTTTGCGAATGATTAATAGTTCTTTGGCAGAGAAAATGTTAGCAAAAATACCAGCTTGATGTCTCAACTTTGCAAAACCTTACACAACTCCATCCAATCTATTACTTTTCAATAAAGTACTTACATTTAAACGGAGCCTAACTGAATTTTGCACTGTTTCTCAAGTTTCTGCACAAGTTTCTCTGATGTCTTAGTTTTTCAACTGAGAACTAAACTACTTAACGTTTTTAATGATTCATTAACCGTGGATTGTGTAAAATATACTCACAAAATTTCAAGTTTCAGTGTTGCGTAGTTATCTGTCTAAAAAATAAAACATCAGAGGAGATTAGATGAAATCTGATATAATTAGGCTGATTCCAGTTATAAAGCAAGCCAATTGAAAAACTAATCCAGATAAATTATTAAAAATTTGTATGATTTTAGTTTTCTATTGGAAAATATTCCATGTAAATTTCAAGTACAAAATAGGAGCAGGAATTTCGAAACACTGCAATCGAGAGACATCAACACTGAGCTGAATCATCAATCTATGTAGAATGCCCGTTAACAAAATATGTTGGACAGTGAAAATAAAATTTTAGTGGGAACATAACCATATGGGATTACTTTAACAAGAGCCTGGAGCGAGCAAATTTCAGACTTGTTATCTTTCTGGGTAACTTTGCGTGAGGCTAATACATTTTTCAGAAAACAATTTTTAAAGTTTCTTTAGAGAGTTCAGCATGATTGAGCTAAAGTGGTAATGAAAAGTAAATTAAATTCTCTTAAATTCAATCAAGTATTCTCAGCTTCACCGCAGTTTTACGGAGATCGTAAACTCATGTCCATTATTCATTAGGTGGTATATTTCAGTGCATCTGATTGGAAAGAGTTTTTGCTTGTCCAAGTCACATTCGGTCCTGCCGAACCCGCATTACTGCAGTACAAGTAGTGAAAAGACAAGTGGCATGAAGAACAAATAAGAGATTTTATTTAGATTTTACCGATTTTCCCCCAGTTGTTTTCACTAAGATCTTCCAAGCCAAGTTGCTGGAAGTAATCAAGGTTCCAACCATAACTGTCTTCATTACAATCGCCATCAGGATAAGCTACGTACGTCCACTTGCAAACTAGGGAGCATAATGACCTGGTAGAAGAATTAATTCCATGAGAAGAGTGATGAGTATCATACAGGGAGACATGAGTTATTACTGATAAAAAAGGTGCACAAGATCATAAAATTTAATTTTTTCAAAAGAATAAAAATATTTTCAAAAATTAAAAAATTTTTTACGTAGCTAGAACCACTTCCAGATTTTGAGACTGACTAATTGGACCACGTTTAACAGAAAGGAGCCAAGCCACATCGGCTGTTGCCACATTTAACTGAGGTATTTAATTTTCTACAAGATGTTTGTGCAAATTTTTGGAAAATTTGAGGGGATCTGCCTTGTAACATGCAGAAAATTCACTGAAATTTTCCAACAAATCCGCCTCACCGTTTTCATGTAATAAATTAAAATGCCCAGTTGAATTTGGCAATAGCTGATGTGGCTTGGTTCCTTTCTGCTCAACGCGGTCCAATTGTACTTAACAGTTCAGCGAACAGAGTTTGATTTGATAGATGGTCTAGCAAAGCTGAAAATCTGGTTACTAATGATAGATTTTTCATTTTTTCTCCTTACGTAGTAGACTTGAGTACACAGTATTGTCAAAACCGCATGAAGGAGTGAATTTCAACTGTGTTGGTACAGTATTTCTTCCTCACATTTTATTTTTTTCAAGAAAAGTAGCCGACGAATTTTTCTTAACACTTATGAGGAAACACACTCGAACAGATTGAGTCATTTGCTAGCTCTCCTGTGAAAAAATAAAATCTTTGTAGTGATACTGAAACAGCACAGGCCAGATATGTTCCAGGAACATATGTTCCTCTTTGCGGGAGTAGTACAAGAAGTAGGAATAATATGATACAAGATTATGTGTCCATTAACACTGATAAGGTAAATTAAATTTAGAAGCTACCTTGAAAAGGCACCTGTTGCTCGCCAGGTCAGAAAGTCTGGGAGATCAAAGAAATGCCCAGCCTTTTTCCAACAAGTATCGAATAAGTTGCGTTTCAACCATAATAGTTTAGGAGTTTCCATTTCCAAGGAAATTTTTCCTCCGGTGTACTTGAGGACTGGATGATTCAACTTGTTAATGAATTCAGCTTCTTTCTCGGCTCTATGGTCCATCCACAGAATAACATTTTGTGTCTGCTCACCTACAATTGAAAAATTTTGTTATCCAATTTAATATACATATTCACGGTGTAAGTCGGCAATCACATAGCTCAGTTAGCAATGTCGCAAACTTCCTGTCATATTTCATTTTTTAAACGGAGAACCACTCAACGGCAATTCTTCAAAACTGCTGTCATTTTTCTTCTCGGTGCAAATAAAATTCTGCATAAACTTCAAGGAATGATGTCAATTTGTTCTCCTTTAAAAAAATAACACAGAGACGGAAGATTTTCAGACACCGCAAACGAGATATGTGATTGCCGACTTACGCCATCGATATGTGCATTGAACAACACAATGAGAAATTCTTCACCATACACTGAGACTGAATTTTCAGGATAGAAAAATTACTGAAACTTTCATTGTTGTGATTCTTTACCTCGATTATGAAATGGTAAACATAGAAATATCTAAAAAGGCTAATTTTCAAAAATTTGGTTTATCGATCACATTTCTATTTCTTACTTGACCTTATTTTCTGACTTTTTTAAGGTGTAAATTAGTCATTATTATTGTTTAAAACCTTTGTGTGGTTTTTTTGGCCTTCACAAAAATATTTCGAGAGATTTTCTTCAAAAATGTTGATGATACCCACTTTAAAATAAACTCAGGCTCAACTTTTCGGAGGCACAGTTAAAATTGACATTTATTATTGTTTCACTATAAATATGTGATTCAATTAAAATCAACTTTGTTTTCCAATTTGGAAAATTAATATTCTATAAACATTCTTCTATCCACCATGATGAAGTTTAGAGATGCAACTCTCAACATCCGAACAAACCAACTTGTTAGTTGTAGTGAGGGGAGTTTCAATTTAGCTTACCATTTGGACTAACAGATAAAGGCTGCAATTTTTTGTCAAGAACCACTAGGGAACAAGTTGCATCAAAGCCAATTCCTTTGACTGCAGTTTTTTCAATCCCGTTGCATACTTCCTAGAGGAACAGATACGTGAAAATAAACGCTTATAGTTTTGGAGATTAAAAGGTTACATCAGCTCTGTTTGGTTTGGATATACGGTGGAAGATAATGAAGTACCATTTAATTAATTTTTAACATCAGAGATTGCACTGCTGAGCAAATTAGAGTGGGTTATAGACTAAAGGCTTATCAGAAGAGCTTCAGCTAGTCATCTTTGTTCTGATTTCTGGAATTTGCAAGAAGACTACATAAGCTCTGTTCATTCCCTCATTAAAATGTGACTACCTGATGGAATTGCTACCACTTTCGATTTCTTGACGGCATAAGCTGGAATCTTCACCTCAAATTTTCTACTTTGAACGAATAGAAATTATCTGAACTCCGTTTATAAAATGACCATCTACAATCTTACAGGGAAAACAAACAGTCTCTCTTCTGACAGGGTCTCAGCCCAGTCCACCCGGTTGAAATTCGTATTGTCGTTCGTTAAGCTGCTCCGTTTCATTGAACTAGTTTTAGGTGTTGTCAAACTAATTTTGCAAAAGTTCAATCCATATTCTAACATCTGAACCAGGCCTTGTTCTTTGAATTGGTCCCAACAAAATTGATGAAAACAGAAAGTGCTTTCTGAGGACATTTTTTTCAAAAGACAGGTTTCAATTAATATGAGTCAAAACGGCCAACACTGAATTTCTATAAAAATCGCATTTGTTTGGCAAAGTTTCTACATAGGACAATATGGTGATAAGCAGAAAATGGCTTTTTCAATAGTTTTGTTTGAAAAAGTCATTTCATTAAATTTTTGCAGCTCTCTCATAAGAGGTCATATCAAAATTGCAATGGGTGTTTGCTTTGATTCAAAGAAAAAGAGACTAGAGTGGCTTACCTTAACTGTTGCACAAACAGCATTCCAAATATCCTCTGAAGATTGCTGATGAAAATTAGGTTTTGGATTCCACGTTTTTATTTCTTTCACTGCTGATTTGACCATTGTACCTGCTGCTGACACCAGAGCAGCTCTGACACTTCCAGTCCCCACATCAACGCCAATGACATAGTCTGATGATCCCATCTTCTGCAAAACAAAACATTAACGTACTAAAATTATCTGGGAGTTTGGTTTTCCTCCAATTTAATAGTGACTTTATAAAGTGGTTGGTTTCTAATATCAATGTTCACGAAAAAGCTAAAAAATTCCTGTATTTTTCATATAGTTTTCCAATTTTCTTTTTAGCTTTGCGAGTAAAAATCACCGGAAGCTTCAAAAATTAAAAACGGATGGTTTTTTCTCATTCAAATATAAATTAATACTTAAGAAGATTGCAAAGTCGCAAAAGAAACCTTTCCTGCTTCTGATGTAAACTCTGAGGGCTGATTGCTAATTGGTGAGGTACAATGGTAACAGATAAGTTACAATGAGATAAAATGAATTAAGGTAATTCGACGGTTGCCATTTCTTGTATCGGAGCGATGTGAGATATATCGCATTAATTTGTTCCATAACAAGCTCCATATTTCCATATTCTTTATTTTATTTCTTTATTTGTTCCATATTTGTTAGCTACTTGTCATTTGTTTCTAACTTTGGGATAGCACTTCTGTTCTCATGAGACTAAAGAATTCATGCACCAAATTTGACAAAGAAATTTAATGTAATAAAGGCAGGGTTCTTTTAGAGGAAAAATATTGCTTTCAATACTGATATCAAAACTGCACTCGAATGCGATATTTTTCCTCTAAAAAACCCTGCCTTAATTACGTTGAATTTCTGTGTCAAAATTGGTACATGAATGCTTTAGTCTCATGACAACAAAAGTGCGATCTCAAAATTAGAAAAAAATGACAAGTAGCTGAAATTATGGAGTGAATTGATGCGATGTATCGCATGCAAAGACATAAAGACAGAGTGCTCGTATCTAAAAGCAGGGGGAAAAAGTGAAGCCTGGTTTGGCGGTGGGTGCTTGTGTGAGTGTGTAAATGAGCGCGGGAATCCATGGCGGCAAACGGAAATTTGATTTGAACTTGTCCTCTTGATTTTTCCACATTTCTTCTTCGAAACGTATTTAAAATGCCTAAAACGAATATATTAAGAAAGTTGGGACTGCGTCCTATTATAATACACCTACTTTTTCTCGGTAACAGGCAGTAATCTCAGATAAAGTTAGTTTTTCTTCTGCTCATGGTGGGTCTGCCGGTTCACACAGGCCGTTACAGTCGTAGATGACCGTTACTCCCAAATGAAATTAATCGGTCGACGACGGACCAAAACTAGCCTAAAGTTAAAAAAATATGAGTGTGTAAGTGAATTTGGGCAAAAATCAACCTAAAATACTTTGTTTCCGTAATTTTATTTAGTTCCCTCCCTACATTTGAATTTCAAACTTGTCCCGATTTCGCCGCCAATCCTCTAGCCAATAGTAGAGGTGATTGAAAAGAAGCTTCATTTTTTGCTTTTAGCGCTCCGTCTTTATGTCTTTGATCGCATGTCGCTCTGACACAAAAAATGGCAACCATCGAATCACCTTACTTAACTGAGGTTAGCAATAGAGAATAGCTTTAGTAGAGACTTTCTTAAAATATTCATGATGATATTAAATTGTATTTGACTCCTTGGACTAAAAAACTTATAAAATGATATAATAAACCAACCTCGTACTGGGTGACTTATTGTCAGTATAATCCTTGATGTTATGAAAGTTAAAAGTGATTGAATCTCCTTACGTGATCGACTCCGGCACAAGTAGGTATGTGAAAGAAGAAAGTAGGTAATTAGAACTACATAATCTTTCGAAAATAGAGAAAGTATGAGGATTGCGGATAGATATGACGAATGACGAAATCAGCAACCCTGATAAGAGATTAAAATGTAAACAAGTAAACACAAACACGTGATTGATCTTTTCTATTTATTCCTGTCAATTGAAATAAATGGAAAGCGCATGTCTCAACCAATCAAAATGCCTGGTTTAGAATTTGCCAATTAAATTCCTCCTAGGCGAGATCTGGAATGAAAGTAGCAGAACCAACCAATGGAACCTTGCAAATAATCAAAACAACAAACAACCCTTATCGGCGTCCTTTCTCCAAACAACCCTTATCAGCGTCCTTTCTCCATGAAATGCTTCCTCCCAGTTGTAGTTGTTTCTCCCTTTCTTTACACTAATTTTCAGCGTCTTCGGCGGCCCACATTTCCCTGATTTCTTCTCCAAAATTACTTGCATTGGAGCAAGCGCTCATTTAAGATTTTGTAACGCTTTCATTCTCCTCCCGTGAGTAAGTAGTCCTTATAATAGTAGTAACTTTAAGAATGCGATTTCCTCGTCTGATCGCATCTTCTTGTGTGAGCGTGTCCAGTGATGTCCGCAAGAAACATCAAATTTGTCCCAGCTAGTATGAGCACTTATTGATCTTGCACCATGCCATGTGCCTCAACATCGGAGTTTTTGTGCCCTGATAAGGTAAACTTATCATGAAGAAGTAGTAATACTTCCTCAATCGTCTGTAATCAGTCTATGTCTGCCTTTCAAGGGACCATGAATCGTCTGCCTGACCCTGACGATGACATCGGAGACCACATGATGATTCTACGAAACGTGAAAGCCTGTCTGGACACCAATGACAACTGGCGAACTGTCGTCAATGTCTTAGCCAAATTCAGGTTTGTAAATAAGTTTTTCATATTTCCATTCCCCGTGAAGTCAGTAGATCCACTGATGGTTCAATGGACAAGCAACTGGTAGTTAGAATGACGATCACGCAAAGCATATCTCCCGTAGTAGAAGAGTTGAGTGTTTAGCAGAGATTCTGTCTTGAGCTCCGAAGGTAGGGCTGACATAAAATCCTGCCGGATTTCCATCGATAACTGTCTCGTGCGCAGTCAGGAGCATTGAAGTTCCCTTTCTGTAGACTCTCAGTACTCCCCACCTAGAGAAGGATTTTCTGTCAGCCCTCGCCTTCCGGGCCGAGTTGGATAGCCTGCAGAGATTCTGTCCTGTGCTCCGAAGGTAGGGCTGACAAGAAATCCTGCGGGCCAAGACACAATCTTTCAAACTGAAATGCCCCTTTTTTAATGAAGGAAAATTTGCACAATTTCGCCTTTTTTTATCTACAGGATAAAGATTCCGAAGTGGAACAACCATAAGGAATACAAAAAATACCAATAAGAAATATCAAAATTACTCTGTGTGAAGGATTATACTTAATGTTTCCTGTCCACTAAGTATGTCATATTTATTTCTGTCTTTGGAGTCTGCTTTTTCCTCCAAGGAAAAAAGAAGTTTATTGGATGGGCCAGGTAAAATTAGGGTCCCTGTATACCCTTATACACTTGTATAGGGGCCCTACACCGTAGGTCCAGAGGCTTCTCTGAAGCGAGAGGAGCCCTTTTCAATTTCGAGCGTTAAAATGTTCGCCTCACCCTCATTTCATGGAAAAAATATTCCTTTATGGCCTCTCGTGGCATTTATGACCGCACAGCAGGCAAGAACACAATTTCCAAGCCACGCTGGCAATTTGATTAGCGTTTGAAATTGCCAATATATTCGGCAATTAAAGTTCTTTCTTTCTCCACCAGAGCTGAGAGTAGATGCGCATTGGTGACATGCTCCTGCTTACCGATGATTTGCGGCAGGATTTTCTGTCAGCCCTAGCCTTCCTGGCCAAGACAGAATCTCTGCTAAACTCAACCGCTTTAGTGGAAAACCTCTCCAAACCTTGTTACCTTACTGCTGTTGGTATGCCTAACGAATAACATAAAATGGTAGCTGATAAATCTTTATCAGTGGAGAAATTATTCAGTCACAGAGAACCCTCCATGTATTAACTCTGATGAAGTTATGGAAGAACATCTAGGAATCCAATCTCAGCATGTGCTGCGTTCTTGTACCCCAGGTAAATCTTGTGAAACCTGCATTTCAGGCAGGTTCCAGTGGTCATAGGTGCATTGTCTAATTGGACTGTTTGGGTCCTTTCAGAAACTGAATTATCCAATGGTAAGCAGTTGGTGCCGTCTAATTCTGTTTGAAACATCTGATGACTTGCAAGTATTTGTATGAGCGCATAACATTTCAATTTTAAGCATTGGAATCCCTAAAGGTCAACAAGTCCCACTGCACTGCATTTAGTGTTTTGAAGAACTAAACACTGTCTGATAAATTTGATTTGTCAATGCACCTCATGGTCACCACTAGTCATTCAAATCACCTAAATACCAAGGCTCTTACTGCTAGTCTTTGCTGCACATAATCCAAAACTTCTTGCTACTTGTAGAAACATGTTTTAAGCCCCCTTTCAAGTTTTGTTTTATTGTGTTTTTTTTTTTTTTTTTTTCGTTATGTTGTTCGTAATCCCAGGCTTCCTTGCTAATTCTAATGATACTGATGTCATACCATTCTATGTTAGTTCATTTCACATTTCCACAGCATTGATACTATGCTGTTAAGAGCAAGTAAAATTAAAACCCCCTTTGAATTTTATATTTAGTAATTCTTCTTCTGTAACATGATGAACTCAATGAACTGCAATACATCAAATTCATAATTAATGGCAGGTTACTTTTTAAACGGAATTGATTTTATGTGATTGCCTCTGAAGATTTTATGAAACTTATATTAAAATTTCCCTTTTTATATTGATGACCTTTGAATCCATGTACCTCCGTTTGCAACATCGTAGTCTTCCTTTCATACCTTATTTTTCTTTGGAAGACTGGCCGACATAATTTCTTGAAAACCCTCTTGATTTGTCTTCTCTGTCAGCAGAACATTCCTTGCCAATTTTGAGCCATGAAATTGGCTTTTTTCTCTTCAAAAGAATGAAATTGCTATGGATATTTTGAAATATCACAATGGAGACACACACATATGCACTTCGGCTATCAGTATAGTTGCTTTATCCTCCGTAAATAATATCATAGGTACTCACTTTAATATCCCATCAAGTAGGTCTGGATTTTAATTTCTGTAGTAATCGTCGACAGAAGCTAATCATTGTTAACTTTTAGGGACATATTCCTCTTAATTTCATAAATAAATTGTTTCATTTTACAGATTACCGGTTGTGTTTGATCCATTTGTTTTGCGTAAAATGGAAATGGCCTCGTCTCCTGCAGACTTTCTGCTCAATGAACTTATCATGCGGTGTTGCAAAGTCAAGTACCTGTGTGAAATATTAAGGAATTCTTCTCAATATGATGCTTTATCATACCTAGTGAAGCCAGGTAAGGAATTATTTTGTATCTCTATTGCATAAAACACGGGTCCAGTAACTTTTCAATCAGGCAACCAGGGGGTGCAAAAATAAACCGACCTCAAAAACTTATTTAAAAAATAAGAAGGTTGCTCACCAGTGTAAAAATTGCGAATTCTGCCATATTGTTACTTCGATAAAATTTAAATAATAATTATGTGTGTTATGCAAAACTGGTTGTAAGTGTGTTTCTCTCTTCATAAATTGCAGCAATTTTTCTCTTGAGAGCACAAAAATGACCAACTTGTTAACAATTATCTGAGAGAAAGGGATCTTTGAAACAGGAACACCAATTGAGAACTTCCTGCATCCCTGACATTAATTTTTAGTCGTAATACTTCTAAAGTCCATTTAAAAGTTCTCCATTGAATTGAGTCCACACCAAGTAAGTTCATGTGTTTTTAGAGTGTGGTAGAAGACCGTCTCATCTTGTTCAAATATTTACTTCGAATGCAATGGAATGAAAATGGCGGATCCACTGTTGGACTGTTGCTCTCTATAAGTGCACTGACTTATTTTTCTTAACTTAAAGGAAAGAAAAAGGGGTAAAAATTATCACTAGGTGAGTATTTTGATTTTAGGTTGAATCAAATAATTGCCTTGTCACAGGAATGGATAATTTGGCCTCTCTTCTCTTTCCTCTGTAGATGAAAAGAACTGATCAACTCGACGTTCCCAAGAATTTCTCTCGTAAAAGGTTATTAAGTAAATAATGACACTACCCAGAATGCTCACCATTCATAGTATAATATATTCTTATTATACTCCACCAACTTTTAGTCATTTAAGGTGATATTTTGTCAGAACACCCCTTTCTCATTTTTTACTTCATATTAAATCCATGTCATAGTCTAACCTATACTTAAAAAATTTTCAACTTATATTTAGTGTATAAATAATTTTTACAGAACCTGTTGAGATAACAAAACAGCCTGGCGGAAACGAAGAGGTATTACAAATACGGCTAGGAGGAGATTTAAAATTACACTGTGAAGCAATTGGTATTCCTCCCCCAACATTTCAGTGGTATTTTGGGAATGTTGTGCTTGAGAATCAGACAAGCTCTTGCTTATCTATTCCATCTTTTAGGTGAGTTTCATCCCCTGTTCCTAAAAGAGCATCGGAAAAAAGTAAATGACTCTATTACCGGATAAATTACTGTCCAAAATAAATCACATTTTGGTCATTACTCGTATATTAACAAAAAGGTGCTAACTAGTCAGTTGATTGGTAGGTGATTAGAGTTTACCTTGAACAGAAATAATTATTTGTACAGGGCTTTATCATTATTTCCAAGCAGCTCCATTCTGTTCTGACGGATGACACACTTCCAAACTTTGCACCTCTCCGTCCTGCAAACTAAAAGGAAGTTGGGAAGATTCATTTCTCCTAGAATCCTTGCTAAAATCAATTATTTTTCCAGGTTTAAAGTTTTTGCAAGCTTTACATCCGGTTGGGATCATCAGTCATTTTCAACTTGATTGGATGAGCATTATTTTCTTCAAAAAAAAAATCTAATATTTCTTGCGCAAAGAAGCCAAAGAAAGAAAGTCTCAAATAAAGTTGTTGTGGGTTGATTAAGCTGATTAAAAGCTTCAACCTTCAAATGTAACTGGACTCCTTCCCAATTGAACTGATATTTTTCACAAGGGCCCAAGCGCCAAAATTCAAGTTTCGAGGAAAACTGGAAAAAAGAGTGCCTTTTGCCGCACGTTCAATCCCTTGAGTCCAGTTTTAACAGGTAATTTTTTGACACATGTGTAAATTTTTGGGGGCTTAAAAGACTAAATGCACGCCAAATGACAGAAATTTTCCTGTTTTTCTCAGAACTTGAATTTTGGAGCTTCTGTCTTTCAGAAAATTATTCATTTAATCGCGACCCTCATTACATTGTGCAGTCCTCTTCTTTTTTTTAACCCCTTAAATTAATAAAACTCTTCTCTCTCTTTTTTAAGTGACAATGATGTCGGGGAGTATCACTGCTCTGTCATGCAGCAACTTCCGGGAGAGGTCAGAGAAATCCACTCCAATGTTGTTTATGTCGAAATAATGGTTCATTTACCAGTTTTTGTTATTCAGCTACCAAAAGTGTTGAATGTGAAGTTCAACGAAGGTGTTATTTTGCGAATAGGAATCTCGTCAGCGGCACATCTTGAATGGTACAAAAATAATGAGCTGCTCCAAAATGAAAAATCGGATGTCCTTCAGGTAAAAATGATGACAAATTTGAGCCCTATTAAACACTCAGAGTTCCCATTTTTATTAAAAAAGATGCCTAAAGTCTTATATATGGATTCAACTTGAATCAGCCTAGAACTGGGGAAAGAAAAGGTTGGACAAATGTCTCATCAAAAATGGCACCATTCACTAGAAATTTATTTGCTATTCAATGGACAGACTGATGATTGATGCATTCAGGTTGATGTTGCTTTTATCCCAGGGGTGCAGAAAGAACTCAATTGGCCGGTTGGCCAATCGCAGAGCAAATGTGGAGGCACCTGAAAAGGGGTGAAAGATTGTGATGCCCCCTGGAAAAAGGCAAAAAAATGTGATAGCAGAAGGTATAAACCAGCTAAGCGCACAGCTTTTTGCAGAGGAAACTTTATAATGGGCTCTCTTATGCCAACAAAATAGTTAAGCACGCCCTTTTAAGTAAGGGAAACAGTGAAGTGCTCAAGTCTTATGTAGATAGCGATGTGAAGTAAATCTCATAAAATACAAAGGCTGCCTCAAAACATTTGAAGGCGAAAAACTTTCTGCACCTCTGTCTCGTCCAATTTGTTCTCTCCTCAGTTCCAACTGCATTTAATGTTGCCTAATCTCAGGTGTTTTATTTTTTCAACTAAACTACTTAATGTGTTTAAACTCTGTGAATTCATTCTGGGTTGTAAAGAATATACTCTCAAACTTTTAAGTTTCAGTTTTGCCTAGGTGCCTGATCATAAATTAAAACATCAGAGAAAATTAGATGTCTGATGTATTTTTGCCGATTCTTGTTAAATCAGGGTTGCTAGCAGTCTGGAAAACCCAGAAAATCAGGGAAAGTCAGAGAATTCATAGGATAGATCAGGGACTTTCTGACACATCTACTAAGCACTAAAACATATCACTAACCTTCGAACTGTTTACCCTTTTTGAACTTTTTAAGGCTTGTCATCTTTTTACCAGCCACCAAATGCCTTTCCCCATGATTGGATCTTTAAAAAGGACATTTTGTCCAAGTTTAGCAATAGTCAGCGTATTAAAAAAAGGAGGAAAAAAATAAAACTATGAGGCCAATTCTTTTCCAAGGTCAGGGAAAGTCAGAAAATTAAATAATTTTAGAGTCAGAGAGAAGCAAATTAAGTCAGAGAACTCAAAGATCATGGCAACCCTGTAATTCGTCAAACCACTTATCATTGAAAGTTTACGCAGTTCTAAAAGGTTTCAACTGTTTGAATTACAAACTGATGGCGGGAGGCGCAAGAGTCGTAAGACAGTAAGTTAGAATTATTTAGCCAATGTGCATTAAAAGTCCAGAAAACTGGAAATCTTAATACAGAGGGGAAAAAGCTCATTTGAGCACAAATTTCCTTCAAAAAGATACGCTGTTTTATGCAACACTAGATATGACCATTCAGGAAGGCAACTGCAGACGCGTTTCGGGTCGAATTAGACCCATCCTCAGTTCAGCGCAGCTTCCTGAATTTTCTGCTACCAAGTTCAGAGAGGTGGTGAAAACCAGCCTGAGACTTGAGCAAGCGGTCGCTGGCGGCAAGCAAATTTGCGCCATCTAGTGAGCGATCTGTTTTCCAGTTTCTGGACTTTTAACGCACATTGGCAAAAAAATTCCAACTTAGTTTGAATTAGTTCAAAATATCTTTGCAGCCTGAATTATTTTTCCAATAAAAGAAAAAAGTTTTTCTTGTTTCAAGGGTACTGAAGTCATTTTTCTCATTTGTTCATTTTTCTTTTCTATTTTAACAGTTGAGCAATATCACAGAGAACACAGTTATAATGTGTCGTGCCAGCAATTCCGCAGGCGAGGTTTTCAGTGATAGATGCCGTATCAATGTGATGCCGCATGAATTCGAGCTCACCAACAACAATCAAAATTTCACCACAGCCAAGTTCGCTATTTTAATTGCAAACGAAAAATACGACAATTTAAACAGGCTTTATACCCCAGCATATGACGCCTCAACTCTAGCTAACATTTTGATACGTTTGAATTTCCAAGTTCTCACTCTGAAAAATTTAACCAAGGATGAGATGAAAGTTGTCTTGAAGAAGTTTTGCCAGCTTATACTTCCTGGCTCTTATGGTTCGTATGCCAATCAAATCAATTCCCCCTTTTCTGATGCTTTCTCTCTTATCTGCAGCTACAGTGCATGTAATTTGTAGAAAAATTGGGGAGAGTCAGTATAAATGAAAATACAATAATTAAAATTAGTTAAAAATGTAAGGGCATTTCATGTGAAAAAACTTGAAATATTTACCTAACTCATTGCATTTGAAAAATAATTTAAATAATAAAACTCCAAAACGGGAAAAAAAGCTGATAACTTTGAAATTACTTTTATCATATTTTCATGCTGCTAATTTCCTCCTTGCTCAGTACAAGTAAGTAGATTGCTGATAGAAAAAATTAAGAGATTGACCTATTTTGATTCCCATACAATTTTAAAATTTCAAAGATTTCTTATTCTGAAGTCTGCGGATAGTCTTAATTGCCTTTGGAGACAAAAACTAGGAAAATTGTTGCCGCTCATTACTGAGACCCAAAGTCAAATAGTGATGATTTTTTATTATGAAAAGTTACCCTTTTGCACAAAACACAATTTTTTTTTGAATTTCACACACAAAAAGTTCTTCAATCAGTTTGTCTTTATTTTGCAGTTTTTTTCTATTACGTTGGGCATGGATTTCAAATCGGCGATAAATATATGATGGGAGTCGACACACCGTGTCCTCAAAGTTACTTACGCTCTGATTGTATCTGCGATCAAGAGGTCATTAAAGATATCATGATGGCTGTGCCTAAACTACTAGTCATAATTCTAGATATGTGCCTAAGAGTCCCTGATAAGTAAGTAAAATTTTCAATTTTCTTCTCTCATTAAATTAGTAGCTCCTCAGAAATGATGAGATTGAAGCAGGATTTCATTCATTCATGCATCAATGAATTTAGAGGAAAGAAAAAAAATACCTAAAAAAACCTAACCTAACTTTTCTATCCACAGTAAGAAGAGGACATTGTATCGTTAGGGCGAAGTAAATTACGAAAGGATGGTGACTTTGTGGATCTTTATCTCTCTCTTTCCGTAACGAATTTCAGTATGTTTTTAACCTTTGTCGGTTAAACACGAAGATGAAAATATACTTATGTGTTGTGTATCTGATGAAGTTCATACCGAATTTCAGGTCTGAAAATCCTGAAATCTACTCCGAAGTCCCTCAGATAGTTGAATATGAACGGAATGGGAACTGCAATCTAGTTCAAGGCTATGCAACATGTTGTCATCTAGGAGCCTACGAAAAACGCACCAGCCAAAATGGACTGTATGTGCAACATCTTGCCAAGTTTTTGGACAAAAACTTACCCATCACACAAATACTTCAGTTAGCACATTTAGGTAGAGTAATTTCAGCACTTAAACATATTCCACTCCATTCTTCTTTATAAGATTTACGTGTTTTTAAGTGGCTCCTCGGACAATTACAACAAAAAGCATATCCTGACACAAAAACTTTTCCGCACTCAAACAAAAACTGCAAATCACTGGAAATTGAACAGGTCTTTCTCAAAAAGATTCAGACGCCATCTGTGAAAGTATGAGGAAACAGTAACAACTCTTCTAGTCGACCTGCTCTAAATTTCAGATACATTAACAATGTGATTCATTAATTAATCGTGTGATTGTTTTTGAGCTCTGAGATTTAGAACAGGTTGATTAACTCAGTTTTTACTGTTTATCGTGTCTTCTTATCTTTGGTGTCTGAGTTTTCTCAAGAGTGACCGATTCAATTGTTGTGTAGGTTTTTTGTGACTATACTGCAAAATGATAGGCGAGGGCAACTCCCAAGAATTGAATCTCTCTGTCTGAACACGACCCAACTCAGGTTTTTTACAATGTTCATTTTCTTGCGTAGAAACACTCCTTTTCTGGCTGTTATGCAGTTTTTATCGTCCCATGAAAAACTTAATTTTTCCGTGATGGGTCGTTTTTTAACTAAAGGATTCAATTAGCCTTATACAGAAATTACCGGGGAAAAGATGTCGACTCAAGATCTATTGTAACATATTTGAACGCATTTTTCAAACTTGATCAAAAAATGACAGGAAATCTGGCAACGCAATGGTGCTGCTCCAACTGGATGGGATAGGAAAATTGGAATGATCTCATTGTCTGTAGTCAATAATCCTAGCTGCAGAAAAATTTTCTTAGGGCCTACTTAAGAAAATGTAATCACATCTGCTTATTTCTACCTCTTGCTAAGAAAATCAAGGTAGTGTGCTCGCAAAAACTTTTCTCTCTGTTTTACCACTAAGCAAAAAAATTTAAGGGCTTCGGTTTAAATCATCTAAATTCTTCACCACAATTGTATCTCAAGAAATATCCACTCTAAGGAAGTGATTGATCAATTTTCTGCAAATAAAAACATTGGAATTTTTTATTAAGCCTTCGACTAACACAAATCAATCAATCTAAACCTTATAATTTCCACTTTCCTCTACATATTTGTTTATTTTGTCGTGTTTTCTGGCAGATTTCAATCGCTGCAAAGGAACAGATAGACAGAAACCATATCTCAGCTCTGACGATGTGAAATGTTTCAAACTCACAGACCCAATCAAAAGTAAGTGTTGTATCTAGAATGTTTTTCTCCCTCTCTGTTGGTGTTTTCCTAACAGTAATCTGTCCCAATTATTAATTATATTCCCCATTATTTATTTTAGTAATTCAGTCAGTACCGTGTTCAAATTTTCCTCCTCTGAGCTGAACCACATGGTTTCTAGTTCTGGAGAAGAGGGGAAATACTGGAGTTTAAAAGGGAATGAAAATTACAAAGGAATAGTGTCAAAAACTGGGAATACCTTCTCTCTTACACTCACCGCTCCAGGATCAAATTATTTTTAAAACTGGTCGTCTTTTTTCACTCTGTTTTGAAAAATCAAATGAAAGATAAGAAAAGTTGACCTTTTTCCCTTGATTTTGGCGAGAAATTTTTTTTCTTTTTTTTCAAGAGAATCTAAGATGAATGAGGAGAAGTCCTGGGTGTTCAACACGGGATTTTTTGGTAGAAATCAGAAAAAAACATGAATTCTAGAAATCATTATTGAACAGTTACCATGTACACACTAAAATTTGGTTCCACAGGATAAAAATGAGCAACTTTTGACAGGATTATACTTGAATTGAGATGTTTTGCATGCTCTCTTGGCTTTTTTGTCCTCTATGAGATGTAGTTCAGACTTTAATTCAGAAAAAGTTGTGACGTAAGAATTTATCTGCCCCCCATCCATCTCCAAGTAAAACTTTTCTGAATATTTTGATGGTATTAATAAAAGGAGCATTTAATGAAAGCCCTGTAGCAAGTTGTGGATCCTTAGTGATTCAAGGTTCTTCGTAAAGGCATATTTCTATCGTCAGAAGTCAAATTTGTTTTGAACAGTGGGACTATATTTTGCAACAAGGAACTACGATGTATGGTTCATCCACAAAAGCACGTATCTGCATAGGGAAACAAACGGCACATAGGTGGGTATGGTTTTTCTTTGTTTATGGCAGCAAAGGGCAATGCAGAAAAAAAAAAATATAGTTCTCATGTAATAAGGAACCTTGTCTTAATTTTTGTTGATTAAAACCTCAGTAGTCACTGATAGGAATTTTAAGAAAATATTTTTTATAGCATAGTTTTCAGTTTCAGTTATTTCATTGTAATTTTCGACCTTTTTCAGGTGATCAACCAGCTTCTAGACATCTAGATCTGTTCAACAATTTGCCTGAGTCGGGTGAAATTTGTTTTCCGTGCATTAAAAAACGGATTTGTATAACATTCAGCAAACATAATTTTGTGTATTGCAATGCTATTGATGTCCAGCTCTCTCAGATATTCGATTCTCACTCTATTGTTGCCACCGTCAACCATGATGTAAGTTTTTAATCCATCTATGCAGATTCTTTTTCTGTAAATAGAGAAATTGGGAAAAATTGTCTCTCAGCCTAACGTTTCTCACTGTGATCTGCATATTGTATGGTGGGGGTTCATTTTGATCTGCCTCATTGTAACAATATTTTGACGGAAAATCCTCGCTCATATCCAATTAATGGCTAAGAAACTTGATGACAAGGCCAAAAAATGTATCCAAGGGAAAAAAATTCTGACTTATATGAAATTCAAGTATATGGCTGATTCCAAAATTAGTTACATTTTTTATATAGGGAAATAGATAGTATTGTAGTAGAATGTAGACTAGTGGGGGATTTTCGATTTCCTGATGATCCAGCTTCTCAAGTTCTACTGTATATGAGGACTTATTTGTAACAATAGCAGTCGCTGACATCCACCATTCTAGGGCAAACGTTTCTTTCGAACTCTGGAGCTCTCAAGAATGCCTGTGCAAAGTTTCAGACTTCCTGCGTAATTTTTTGGCGAGATGTGAACTGAAAACCATGTGATTTGTAAAAACAGCGATTATGAGAATCCACTGTTTTCGGTGTTCTCCCCAGCCAGCACGGCAGGATACTGCAGAGATTCTAATGCACTTGCAATAACTGCCCTGCGTGATAAAAGCCTTACCCTTCCTGTAGACTTTGTTTTATGCATAAAAAAATGTTTTCAGTAAAAATAGCGGATGTCGCATTTTTTTCAAATCGCTGTTACTCCTTCAATTTTTCACTTGCATAGATCGTATAACGTGTGTTGTTTACAGGAAGAGTTGCTCTGCATGAAAATCATTATAAGAATCCTCTCGTTTCTACGGGCGACAAAGTGCAAAGCTTTGAAAACTTTAAGCGCGATTTTCTCGCAATGTGGAAACTCGACATCTGCTTTTGTTACATATAAGTCCTCATATGCTGATTTTCTTTTAAGATGATGGACAAAATTATTTGTTTCCTTCAAACTTCAAGAATTTTGTGTTTCTGTCCTTTTCATAACCTCCTTGACTTGTCTTCACAGGTCCTTGAAACCTCTTGGAAAGTTGACATGGAGAAAAAATGCAGTATATTGACTATAGAAAATTTACAACGAATTAAGGTAAAAATTTGATCAATAGAGCCAGTGACATTGCATGTAATGAAAAATCCTCTAAATCAAATTCTGTTGCCCCCTCTGATCTTGCCTTGTCTGCCCTTGATCTCGTAGTAAACATTTTTGATGATAAATGATAAAAAGTTGGCTTGAAGAGGCAAACTGCCATTTGAGAGCAAAGTGAGGGTTCCTGATCAGGGTTTTGAATTTGATTTCCTCCCGTAGGAACTCACTTCTTTAAAATCCAAAATTTAAGTGCAGACTGGTGCCAAAAGTCTGCCTGGCAGAAGAAGTTTGGTTTCAAAAGCTCATTGTGCACAGAATGTCGTGAAGAACATCATTTCATATTATAACGAACCTTAGCCATTGCCAAATTCTTTGGTGTTCTGTGTAAGGTTGTTTTGTGGGGAAGAAATTGGACCCGAAGTGAAAAATTGATGAAATTTTAGATGAGATAAAATTATAGTGAAATGCGTCTTATGATAGTTTTGTCAAGCCGTAGTACATTTAGTTAATTTTCTGAATACTTTACTATAGAATTCTTCATAAGCATTTTGGCTAAGACTGAAGAAACTGAGCATTTATACCTTTTTTTTTAAATAAGTTAGCCATCCATCAGCTGGGACAAGCATTTCTTATCAGATGGAGTCTAATGCATTTACTGTGTTTCTTTCAGTTTCAAGAGGAAATCATCATAACTCTAAAAATCTGCAAATTCGACATGACAAGCAACGAAACTGGTGTGGAGGATGACTCTCAAAATCAGCTGAAAGTGTTGGACTACTTCCAGATCAACATAGGCTCCCCTTTAATTAGCTATGTTGACTTGAAATCATAGCAGAATCTAAAGATTCATAACCTTGCATCCTTCAAGTTTTACGCTAATCCAACTTCTAAATGTTACACTCATCAATCTCAAGTTCTTCTTGATTTGATGTAGTTCCAGTTGTATGGGTTATGTGACAAACCCAAAAACTTCGATTCTCTTTATTTTTCATATTTAAATGTTACCGATGTAGTTCCTCTTTAAATTTTAAAAACTCCAATCGACAGGTAGTTTTCATCTTCCTCGTTTGAGGACTTTGGTAGTGGAAAGACAAATTGGTTTTGTACTCTTACAAATATGGCTGCATCCGGGGTCCAATTTGAGAGTATGTACTCGGCGTAGAAGGTTTTGAAAACTTGTATGTATAAGTTTTCAAGTGTAGATTTTAAGCGTTGTTTTTTGAGGGTTGAAGGTACTCACTTTTTGCAATTATTTTTTTATATTTTTTTTTTTTTTTTTTTTACTCTATTATATTTTTCATTTTCTTTTACAAATACATAGGAAAAATACACACAATTAGAAAGGAAGAAAAAGATGACTCTAAGTAGAAAAAGGAAGAAAAAGATACAGTAAAATTTAAAATTAAACAAGGATAAACACTACACAAAGAGATATTTGATACATGATAGGATGTCTAAGTCTTGACGTTGTTCTTTGATGTAACGGTGTGCTTTCTTGAGTGTTATCTCAATGATATCCAAGACATTTTCGAGTTGAGATAACTCAAAATGTTCGATGTTTGACGATGAGGGCAGTGGCCGGGTGAAAGCCTTTTGCGTGGTTAGGAAAAGGTTGGCATTTGGTGCCCTATTGTAAAGGACGTAATCCAAAAATTGGGTTTTCAGATGTTGTTGATAGAGGAATGTTTCGGTACGGTGGTACCTCCACTGTGCGTCGGCGATTTGAGACGAAATTCACATAAGCGTGTGGGCAGTTTCACTTAAGCGGGGGTTAATAACTGTAAAGATGGGTACTGGGATCCAGAACTCTTCATTTTCGACTGCAGTGTTCATGGCTGAGACGGTAGGTCGTGAGGTGGCGAACGGAGAGGACAGAATGAGACTTTTTCTGGAAGCTGGTGGCGATTCGGGTTATGTGAAGGCAGGAGGAAGGGGTGGACAAGGAAATTTGGAGGCTGTGATTGGTTAAATTTTGGGGGGGAGTGAATAAGGGCAATTTATTGGGAGAGAAATGGAATAAATAGGATGCACTTTGCAAAATAGGAAAGATTAAGAAAATTGAGTTCACGACTATGTGAGAAGCGAATGGGGGAATAAGGGCAAATTGGGAGGAAGTAGAGAAAATCAATACTATAATATTCACTTTTATAGTATAAAAGTTGAGAAATTAATTTATTTTTGTAAGAACGAAAATCAATAGGATAGTCACTTCTATGGAATAATTTAATGTATAATTTCCGTGCTCGTAGTTCTTGTAAATTAACAACAGAAGGATTTTTACCGATATAAGAGATAATTTTATGAATCCAATGCTGCGGAATAGCTAAATCATGCGTAAGGAGGTGAAAGACGTATGAAGACTGGTAATTTTCAAGAGACAACGTAAAATATGTTTCTAAGACTCTGTGGTCATAACACCATGTGTCAGTGTGTAAGATAAGTTTCTTACAGTTAAGAAATTGACATTGATTGAATATTTCAGGTTCGTCCCACATCTGAAAGATACAAGTGGAAGTTAGACAACAAGAATGAGGGTGAATGAGATTAAGTTGCAGGGGTTGCATGTGCAGCAGGGTTTGATGCATTCCAAAATGTCTGCATATTGACGCTTTTCGTCGATGAAAAGGCGAGCTTCGGTGATTGTTGTTTCCAAGGTCTCCAAGACCCACTCGAGTTGAGACAGCTCAAAATGCTCGAGATCGGGCACCTCTTGTAATGGTTGATTGAATGCTTTGAGGGTCACTATGAAGAGATTTGTGTCTGGTTTTTTGCTGTTAATTAAGTAATCCAGGAACTGCGTCTTTAAGTGCTGGTAATAGAGAAAGGTAAAATAGAACAAAAGGATTTTTACCGATATAAGAGATAATTTTATGAATCCAATGCTGCGGAATAGCTAAATCATGCGTAAAGAGGTGAAAGACGTATGAAGACTCGTAATTTTCAAGAGACGACGTAAAATATGTTTCTAAGACTCTGTGGTCATAACACCATGTGTCAGTGTGTAAGATAAGTTTCTTACAGTTAAGAAATTGACATTGATTGAATATTTCAGGTTCGTCCCACATCTGAAAGATACAAGTGGAAGTTAGACAACAAGAACGAGGGTGAGTGAGATGTAGGTGCAAGGGGTTGCATTACCGGTAGGGAGATGCAAAAGTGCAATAAAAACGTCGTAAAATCGGTGAATAGAACAGTGCGCCCGTATGAGAAGGGGGTTGGTACAAGAAGCTGCCAGATGGGCAGCAAAAACCCACGGATTACAAAGTTATGAATTACAGATGGGACAAGAATTTGTGTTATAAGTAAAATTTATGACGTAGTAATTTTGAAAATTTTTCTTAATCAGTAAGGAATTTGGGAAACTCCATAATTGATAAGCAGGATGTGTGATTAGTGAAAGTAATTTGGCTTGGAGTATTTGTTTGTAAAGAAAATATGAATGCTGGAATTCTAATACAAGTGTAGTACAAAAATTCTCGTTTAAAAGACTGTTCTTTACAAGAAAAATATTTAAGAGAAAAGTTTCAAGAGATTCAGTAAATTCCATGTTATTTTCACAAAGGCACATGGAGATTTTAAAACTAGTATCTGCAATGAGAAGTAGTTGCAGTGAATATTTGCTTTCGTGAACAAGGTTGATGGTGTTAGCCGTGAGTAAGCATGACAATGTCGGGTTTTCTGACAAGATTCTGATGCTTCTATCAAAAATTGTATTTTGAAAGGACAGATCAGTTGGTGGGAAGCGAATTTCTATTTTGACAGGCGGAGTGTTGTGATTTACGTCGAATAAGTTGAACATCAAGTCTAAATGATAATTGACAAAGCGTTTGGATTGCATGATTTTAGATGCACAGGAATCTGGAAGGATTTTGAAAGAGAAAAAAAAAAAGGTTACAAAGGCGAAATGTGTGTAACATAGAGTGAATAAAAGGTAATAAAAGGATTGCACAAATTATGAATACAATAGGTGAACAGTAGTAATTGTAGCGTCGGCGAACAGAAGAGAAATGGGAAAGAGAAAAAAGAAAGAGAAAGTTTATAAGAATGAAAGAAGATAAATATGTGATAGATGTGACTACATTGCAGTTACAAGGGACAATGATCCAGGGGGAGTGAGGTGGGGTGTTGACACATGTATGTGTTTGAGGAATAATTGTTAGGGCAAAGTGAATTTGGCAACCATGGAACAGAGAAAAATCGGACATGAAGTGAGTTGGGGGACTTAGTTTCTGGGCGTAAGGGATAATATTTTTTTTTTTTTGTTTTTTTGTTTTTACACTCAACTCACTCTTTCTTGTTTAATTTTATTTTTATTTTTTTTTTATTTTTTTTTTTAATTTTTTGTTATTTATTTTGAGCACAAATACACACGAAAAATACACAAGTAGAAAAGAAGAAAAAGATGCCCCCCAATTAGAAGAATGAAGAAAAAGATACAATAAAACTTAAAACTAAACAATGATAAATTTACACAAATAGATATCTGATTGAACCGAGTAGCTCGGTTTCTTCGCGTTTTTCATTTATGTAAGTATGTGCCTCTGCGATAGAACCTTCGATGCACTGCAGAACCCATTTGAGCTGCGAGAGCTCAAATGATTCAAGGTCTTTTACATGGAGAGTTCTATTATGTGCTTTGTGGGCCGAAAGGAAGAGTTGTGCGTCGGGCTTCTTGTTGGCAAGTACATATCCAAGAAATTGCGTCATTAAGTGTTGATCAAATAGAAATTCTTCGACTTGGCGGTATCTCCATTTGGTCGAGTCTAAGGTGGATGCAAGGCTGTTAAGTATCGACTCTGCGTCGTCGATGCGAGGGTTTAGGAGTCTATGGAGAGGAATCGGGCACCTCCATTCACTGTCTTCTACGATTGAGTTCATGATTGAAAGCACGGATGAGAATGAATGACGAAGTTACACGAGTTTCGAGAGCAGAGTGAGGTTTGTTCTGGATTCTGGTGGCGATTCGGGTGATGTAACGGTAGGAGAAAGGGACGGACAAGGAAGGGTAGAGGTTGTGATTGGTTAAATTTTTGAAAGGTAATGAATATGGGCAATGTAATAATTTGGTGGTGTGAGGGGAGGAGAAATGGAGGGAGTAGGATGCGCTTAGGAAGATTGAGACAATAGATGCAGATTGGGATTTATGACTGTGTGATTGACGAATGAATGGGATGAGGGTAAATTGAGAGGAAGATAGGAAGAGAGAAAAAAATCAATAGTTGAGTTGAGCCGGGGAGGTAGAGGGTTAAGGATATGTTATATAAAAGTTTGAAGGAGGGAAGTTAGCAGATGTTAATGGTTTTAAGGTAAAAATTAAACATGAATTTTATGTTCAAGGATATTTAAAATTTCTAAATTTTGTTGAAGTTTGTCCTTTTTTGAAAATTTGACTTTAGTCCAAGGCCAAAATAAGGGAATGTTTTCACATGCTTGGCGAAAGAGGCTATAAGTTATTGGGAGATTATTAGTAATGGCATGAAGGAATAATCTTTCAACTTCTGTAGCATAATCATGGAAATTTGCAGAACATTTTTCCTCTAAAAATGCAATGTGGTTGTGGTGTGTAAAGATTTGTTTCCAATTTGACAGAGAAAAAGAAGTTGTTATAAAAGGTATACAGCATTCATCAGAAATAAGGTTGAAATTTTCAATAGAAGGATCCATGAAGACTAGTTAATCGAGATTAGGGGGTGGGGAAGGGGGGAATTATGGCGGGTTGTAAGGTAAGTTCAAGGGAAGGATGAGTACAATCAATTACAAAATTTACCGACAGAAAGATATTTGAGTTATATATAAGTATGAAATTACCTTTTGTAACTAAAAAGTTGGTAACCAAAAGTTCTTCACCAAGAACGGAAGCAATTATTGTAAAAATTGTGTTCCGTAAAAATTGTTTATTTTTATTTTACAAACACATAGGATAAGTACACAATAACAATGGCGTAGAGTAGGGGTTGTGCACAACAATTGGAGGAATAATGGGGGAGGGACTCAGTGAAATGGCGGAGAAACAAAATGCAGTAACCAATACAATGATGAATGTAGTTCGAAACAAGGAAGAAATACAAATGACAGTGAGTAAAGTTGAAAAACTAGCAAGGGGTAAGTTAAATATAAATGCATTTTGTGACATAGCTGCGAAGAAAATAAGAGGTGAATAAAGTATTAAGCAAAATGTAGAGTATAATGATGGTGAATATTAGAAGTAACTTCAAACGTAACAAAGGTATATGAGAATAATTGTGGGTAATTGATTAAATAGTGAATAGAATAGTGTAATTATGAGATATAAGGAGTTAAGATATAAGAGTAATGTGAATTAATATATAAGTAATGACACAATGAGTACATAAGAAAAGTAGTAGGAATTTAATAGACATTATATGCTAAAATGCAAATTTGAAGTATAAACATCATAAGTATGTAAAGATATTGATAGAAATAAGGGAGAAGGGAGAATAAAATGATTAATTGTAAGAATAAGTGATAGTTATCTGAGCCAATCAATATGGCAGCAATTTTAAGGTAGATCACCGGTGATGACGAGCAGAGGATAAATAGAGTATGGAGAGTAAATGCAAGGTAGAACAATGTGTTAAGGATATATAAGGAGATACATAGAAGATAAGTATGCATGACTCTGTGAGATATATGAAAAATCTTGGAATTACATTACAACATATGGTAGGACACACGATAAATACATAAGGAAAAATGGTTAAGTGAGTAAAGGGTGACAATACATTATATAGGGAAGTACATAGAAGGGAAGGAAGACTAAATGCATAGAGATGTATATAAGCATATGTAAGGAGACTTAGATAGCTAAATGTAGATGTATAGAGTATAGTATAGACGATAAAGAGGAGTACAGATGTGACAAATCAAATATGAGTAGCTATGTGTATGTAACAGAGAGAAGGTTTGTTTTCATGTAAAATGTTGATGGTGTCAGCCGTAAGTAAGCATGACAAGGTTGAATTTTCTAACAAAAGTTTGATGCTTCTATCAAAAATTGTATTTTGAAAGGACAGATCAGTTGGTGAGAAGCGAGTTTTTATTTTGACAGGCGGAGTGTTGTGATTTACGTCGAATAAGCTGAACATCAAGTCTAAATGATGATTGACGAAACGTTTGGATTGCATGATTTTTAGATGTACAGGAATCTGGAAGGATTGAGAAAAAAAAAATTTTGGTTACTAAGGTGAAATGTTTGTAACATGGCTTGAATAAAAGGGAAAATAAGGGATTGCACAGATTACGAATACAATAGGTGAGCAATAGTAAATGAAGAGTCGACGAGCAGTAGGAAATTAAAGATAATAATCAAGAAAAAGAAAATGAAATTTATGAAAAGGAGAAAAGTTTTAAAAAAATGAGGATGAAATTATAACAATAATGTGATAATATGTGATAGATGTGACTACATTGCCGTTACAAGGGAAAATGATCTAGGGGGAGTGAAGAGGGCTGTTGACAAATGTATGTATTTGAAGAATAATTGTAGGGCAAAATGAACTTGGCAACCATGGAACAGAGAAAAATCGGACATGTGAGTTGGGAGACTTAGATTCTGTGCGAACATGATAAGATTTTTGTTTTTTGTCACTCAATTCACTCTTTTTTGTTTTATTTTATTTAAATTTTTTTTTTTCTTTTAGTTATTTATTTTGATCACAAATACACAGGAAAAAATACACAAGTAGAAAGGAAGAAAAAGATGCCCCCTAAGTAGAAAAAGGAAGAAAAAGATACAAGACCATTTACAGGTAAATTAATACAAATATTACATAAAAAGGAATTTGATGGATGTTAATATCGATGTCTCGCAGTCCTCCGTGCGGCGTTGTGTTGCGTTGGAGTGGATTTGATATAGAATATCCGCTTCACATAGTTGAAGAATTCTATATTCGAATTCCTCATCATCCTCGGCTGAAGATTTTGGTAGAGAGAAGCCAAATCGGCTTCGGACTCTGGTGAATAGCGATGCATCCGGGGATCGATTGAAGATTAAATATTCGGCGTAGAAGGCTTTGAAGAGTTGGATGTATAGGTTTTCAAGATTAGATTTTAGGCGCTGATTTTCGAGGTGGATTTGAGCGCGACGATCTACGATTTCCGTGTGGAGGTGTGTTAGTTTTGGGTTGAGGATATCGACGAGTGGTGTGAGGTCAATAATTCTGTTGCTAACCGAATTCTTTCCCACGCCGTCTTTGATGAGTCACCTCAAATCAATATCGTAGGCGCCGAAATGCCCCTTGAGGTTGAAAAGAGAAGAAATAGAACAATTACATTTACTTAAAATTAAACGAGAGAAAATGGATTACAGAAAGAGAAATCTAACGCGTTCCAGGAGATCTTGTTCTTCCCGTTGCTGTTGAATGTATTGAAATCCGTCAGAGATCGTCTCTTGCAGGTCTTGGAGGATGATTTGTAGATGGAGTAATTCGAACTTTTCTTCATCCCATCAAAGACGGCGAGGGAAAGAATTCGGTTAGCAACAGAATTATTGACCTCACAGTGAGAGTTCATCCCAGAACTGTTTTGAGGCGATTTTGGTGTCCATGGCTCGGGGAGAAAAATTCGAATGTGCACTAGGAAGGTTTGGAGCGGAATGAGACTCCGTTCGGACGCTGGTGGCGATTTGGGTGATGTGACGGTAGCAGAAAGGGATGGACAAGGAAAGTTAGAGGTTGTGATTGGTTGAATTCTTGGAAGGGAGTGAGTAAGGGCACTTTATTGATATGATCTGATGGGGTGAGAAATGGAATAAATAGGATGCACTTTGCAAAATAGGAAAGATCAAGAGATTTGAGTTCACGACTATGTGAGAGGCAAATGAGGGGAGTGAGGGCAAATTTGGAGGAAATAGCAAAAAAAATCAATACTTGAATTGAGTCAGAGAGGTATGAAGGTTAAAAGTATACTACACAAAAGTGTAGAAAGGAGGTTAGTACATGTAAATGAGGGCTTTTAGAGTAAGTATTGAAGTTGAATCTTATTTTCGAGGGTATTTGAAATTTCGAAATTGTGTTGAAGTAACTCTAGTCCAAGGCCAAAATATGGGAATGTTTTCACGTGCTTGGTGAAAGAGGCTATAATTTAGTGGGAGACTATTTTTAATGGCATGAAGGAACAATCTTTCAACTTCTGTAGCATAATCGTGGAAATTTGCCGAACATTTTTCCTCTAATAATGCAATGTGGTTGTGGTGTGTAATAATTTCTCTCAAAAATTCGAGCCCCTACTGATCCGAACGCGCTTGACTTGCTTATTTTTGTTGTTTGTTTTGATTTGGGGAAAAGGCCAGAGATATCCACGGAGAAAATAGATCCAAGGGTCAGGAAAAACCTGGAAAGTCAAGGAGAAGGTGAACAGTTTTATTGTTTTTCTTGTAGAAAGCTGCATGACTGCATTTTAGGTTCGATTGGTCTTTTGACCAAAATAAGTATCACTTCGTCCGTTGAGTTATCAAGTTTTTTCCCCTATTATTCGCTGCAGGATACTGTCAATTGAATAATATCGATCCAATGTATGTTATTATATGCTCAATACACTCTAAACCACATATTTTACGATAGCTGGTTTAAACTGCCTGTCGATATTTTTAGGAGGGGAACATCACTTCTGTACTCACCTTTTATCCTAACTTTTTCTGTTTTCAATTTATTTTGTATTTTCTATATTCCAATGTTAAAATGCCTGTGTAACAAGTTTACCGACAAGATTAAATTGGAATCAGCACAACTACACCAGACACCGCCCAAGTTTCTCTGATATGCTATTTTTGGAACAAAGAACCATGCGACAATTATAATTTCATAAGGACAATCTTCTTGATCACAATTTTAATGGCATTAATAAATAAAATATGAAAAAAAAGTATGCAAGAAGGAATGCATTGAGGCTTATTACGGTTAAATCTGGACTTCATTTTGCAATTAGGAACCACAATTTCTGGCTAATCTGTAAAAACACTTACGTACATACGGAAACAAGTGGTAAATACGTTGTTTCTAAACTGAGACAGAAATCGTAGTTCCTAATCGTAAAATGCAATCCATCTGTTCGAATATCATTTCTTCATCAGGAATATTTGTTAGTAATTTTTTTTTCATAATTTAAGTTTTTATTGTTGATGATGATAATGTTTTCTTATTTTGAATAAATATATTTGTATTGTTGGTTAAAAGAAAAAGAAAGAAACGTCTCTTTTTTGGTTCAAACTTGATACCTTTCTATAAAACTCGGTCCAGCTCAGTCACCAGTCAACAAGATATGCACAAGAGCAGTGAAAAGATGATTTGTGGCCAAATTATTTTTATGAAGTGAGGTTTAGAGAGGTTGTTCTAACTCTGATTAGATTTTGACATTGCATGTATCATTCCCGAAAACTGGATCATATCTAAGAGGAAACAGAAAAGCCTCTTTGAAAGGTTTAAAAAATATTGACTACCTTTGATTTCAGTGTAAATGTCTAGTTCAGATTCAAATTCAAGGCTTGCATGGCTCTAGATCTCCCACCGTACATATTTTGAACAACTCCTTATAAGTTCCACCTTGTTTCTGGATAAAGGATTTTCAGCTTATAAATGAGGATATTTAGAACATAGAGAAATAAAAGAAAAGATGGATTTTCTTTGCTTAGAGCAAATGGTGTAATCATAATAAAATAAATATAAATTCTAAGAATAGATAAACTACATAGAAACATTTAGAAACTGAATACAAAATCACATGTTAAAGCATACATAAGTAGCAAGATATAGAAATACAACTTTAAATAAAATTTAGATGAAAATTTAGGAGGGTTACAATTTAGAAATCTTTGGTCAATAGTACATATGTGAAGATTTCAAAAGGAAAAATGGAAACTTTAGAGGAAAATTTAAAGGACCAATTCAGTTACTAGATCAGTAGCTAGGAATCACAGCGTTCAAAATGAAATGCTGGAAAAAATTGCAAACAATTTATTCTTAAATCATTAATACTCAAAAGTCTAATTATAAATCAATTAAATGTATGAGGAAGTAAATTAATGGCAGCAACTTCTCTGCAAATTGGTAATTAGTGCTCCAAATTATTATTCTTCAGATGTTCGACTTGAAACAAATTCGGTACCATGTTTTGGAAGTATGTGAATGGAATGCTTAAATATCTTAAGAAAGTGATGAACCACAGAACAAGTTTAAATGCCTTTAAGACTAATCATGAAAAATTAAAATCAAAAGAAACATTAATGGTAAACATAAAAGAACTAATGAGAATGAAAAGTTGACTGGAGGATATTATGCACTTAAATGTACAAAGGCAACAAATTAGAACGTATGTCTTATATTTGTATTCTCTGAAATCAGCACTAAATTGAAAAAAAATACTACATTATTTCACATAGATTATATTCTGTATGGCCTTCTGAAGAAAATGAACTTTTAAGGTCGAACTTTCTACATGCCAATCTGGAAAAAAGCAGGGCTGAACGATGAATTTTTGGCATTTGCACGCCCACTACCCAATGGAAGTTTTGCAACACCTAGTAGGCGATTGAGGAAAGCTTTTGATTCCCCCAGACCGGGAAGATAAGACCACTTAGACAGCAACAGCTCTACACTTCCATTTAAAAACTCAGATTTGAAGGTGTAGATATTCACTTTTCAGTCCTCCTTTCCTGGACATTGCTACACAGAAAGTTAGATTTAAAAGCCTATCAGACTCAGGCTTTCTTCCATGTAAGGAACATCACATCAAATAATACTAATACTAAAGGCCTAGATACTCGCAACGATTAATCGCCGTGTGTATCTTCGCCTTGAGCCAGCCTATAATTTCTTGGTATTCCTAATGAAGTCCTTTCCTCCAGCTTCAGTAACGAGAGTAAAGTAATAAAAAGTATTATCTAGCTAGAAATGAAGAGATATAACTCAAACAAATGAATTAAATATTAAGTTACAACAAAATTATATAATGTTTCACTTAGCAGAGGGAGGCAGATTAAATCATCTTAAGAGATTGAGTCCATTTCATTAACCTAATTCAAAATAGGAGACACTGAGGAGAGGATTGTGCTAATTACTACAGGAAAAAAAACACAATCATACGTAATACGCATGCTTCAAGCTTAGGTCAAAAACATTCAACAGTTCAACACATTCACTGCCGATAAGGTTACAGGCAGCCTCCAAAGGAAATTTTCATCGAAAGTTCAATTTTGCTACATATTAAAACCTCTTAATTCTATTTTGGCCTCTAGGAATGTGCAGGGGTCACTCATGACTGGAAGGTGCGCAGCAAATGAATGAAGGTGTTATTACTTTCTAGAGGAATCCTTAAAGTCTCATAATATTTTACAAAAGATGCTTGCCAGGCGATACTTAATCTGATAGTACCCTACAGCAGTGAACAAGTTTAACTTGTTGACAAAAAAATGGCAGCAAAAATATGAAAAGTCTTATAAAGTACTCAAAGTAATTAAGTAATCTTGGGTGTAAATCAAGGGCATTAAAATGAGTGATTTTTCAAAAATGTTTTCACATTTAGGTGCTCTAAGTTTGACTAAGTGGAATACAATGCCCATTAATTGAGTTAAATCAACTTAACTCTTAGGCCAAGCTCAAGCTGACTTGAACACGCGCTTATCATTTGAGCAATTAAAGTTCTTGAAGACATTTTTTGGAATGCAAATGGAAAAACATTATAGTACTCAAACGGGATCCTAGATTTGACTCATGATTGGCAATCTCAAGAAACTGAGGAAATACAGCAGAACTATCTAACATAGTCAGATGACAGGCCACGTAATTTTTCCTTAAAATACAGTTATGACCATTAACAGACGTTTCAAGATAAAAAGCTCGAGCTTTTAATCCAAATGTTTGGCTTTTTAAAAATACAAGTCTGGAAAACATATTTCATCTGCAGCGAGTCAAATTATCAGTTCTTGCTTTACTCTTTTAGAGGAGCACTGATTAAATAAATTTTTACAGAATATATTCTCTAAAGAGGAAAAATCATGGAAGTTTTAGTGAAATAGCATTAATTAGTTATCCATTTCAAAAATAAAAAGCGACAGAAAATTTGCCGGACGCCAATAGAGTTACATGTTTCTCAAGCTAAACGAGTTGTAATTTACCAATGACTACAGGAGCCATCGGAAAATACCTGGAAAAGTAAGGTATCTCCAAAGCAAAGAAGATAAATTGAATGAATACATACACTTATCAAAGCACACTGAGCATAGGTGCCGAATGGATAAGGCTTTCCCTAGAAGTTCCATGCTTGATACCATGCTCCAGAATTCACGATCGAGTTTCTGGTGATTGTAACAAAATATTCGCCAGTATCTGATTATACCAAAGAGCCTTACGAGTAATTCCAAGATGTTTCTGAGGTTACCAACTTAGGTAATCGATAAAGTATGACGAGAAAGAAGGTATTTGAGTTTACAATAGGAAACGTTTTTGCATGGGCTGATTTGATTTTAAAAATTTTGAAAATGAGTGAAACAGGAGAAGATAGTAGGGAAAAGATAGTAGGGTGTCGATTGTGCTAGATAAACTTAACATCATGAGATATTAAAAAAAGTCCCAGTAAAACAAACTTTCTTCGCCATAGTGTGATATTCATAAAAGATTTTAACGATGAAGTCAATGTGCCGATAAAGTTCATCAATATTACTGACTCGAGGAAACTTTACTTTCGATTTTACTTTTGAATAATAATAACAAACTTTTGTTTGTCCTCATTAAAAACATCGTTCAAGCTCAGTCTAAAAAATGCTTGCATTATTAAAAAAAATCTGTAGTTTGTTACTGCATTAAAATGAGATTAAAATTGTCAGTTCTTCTGCTGCAGCAAACTTAAAAACTAGCGACAGAATGATCCATCTTGGTCTTCAAAAGTGAAGGGGCCATCTTTTTGACGATGTGGTTGTAAACATAAGATGGAATGATTGTGACAGTCACGACATTTGATGCTTTTTCAATTATTGATGATATTTCTTTGTCTTTCATTCCAACAACATTCTGACCATCGACCTGAAAAATAAAATAGAAAGAAAATAAATAAATGAGACGGAAAGATAGACGATAGTATAATACCTCACAGAGCGAAAATTTACACCTTTTAATTTTCGTCGAAAAAAATTTCTGTGGTGATGACAATGCTCGACTGAGTTTTATAGCTTATTATACTCAGGTAGAGAGCTTTCAATTCTTAGCAAAAATAAAGAGTATGAAGTGTCGTTTTGAGGCCAGCACAACTTACAATATGTTAAAAGGTTATTTTCAAAATGACCACCAAATCTGGTATAAAGCTGCAGTCCAAAGTTATCAGGAATTGTTTCTTTCCCGCTAGGATATCTCTCAATACTTTTCCCATCAATAGAATTAATAATTTTTGCGAAGTGGTTATAAATGAAAATTAAAGGCCTTATTCTCTACTGACCATATGCATACATCAACGATGAAACAGGAAACATGTGTATCTCAGTTGCAGTGTTGCAAATCTCCATTCCTATTATATTCTTCAAAAGGAGGCCATACCAACCGCATACCCAGGATTTTTACAGAATATTCTTCACATGGAGAAAAAAGATTACCGGGGTTAACAAGGAATGATTTTGAGTAGTTTTCCATTTAAAAAGTAAAGAATGACAGAAAGTCTATAATGCTGTAAGAAGAGATACGCATTTCTACAGTTTTACTATCTTTTTGCCAATCATACATGGCCTTTTGTCCTATTCACAAGGGCAAAAAACTGCGCATCAGAAATTCTTTGCTAAAAAACTGTGATCTCAGAATTGCTTTTAAACTTTCGGAAGGTGTGCCATTTTATACCTTGGGGCTTCGAGTTAATGATACTGAATTTCCAAAATATGTATGCAGTATGGTAGAAATAATAAAAAGCATCCTCAAACCCTCACCTCCCTAGCAAGTTTAAAAAAAATTGACGAATTCGCACTTAGATGACTGTAAAGCAAGGGAGAAGTTTATCAGCTTTTGTTGTGCTGCCCCTTCAAACTTTGGGAATTGGCAAAAGAATAGTTAAAATGTACATAGTTTTAGTGAGATTATGTTACTTGGTCCAAGAATTCACCTGGCCTCGATTTAGATGCAACAGAAATAATGGAAAAAGGAGAAGACATGCCACTAAAATGGGGCTTTGTAATTAATATAAAATGAGGAAATACTTCATTCTTCATATTAATTAATTTATTGAATGTATGGCTTTTTTTATAGATCACCCTAAGAAAAGGCTTTTCAACCAGTTGACTTGTGAGATCATGAGAATAAGCTATACCTCTAGCAAATGATGTTCAGTTAAAAGTCCATTGCGGGCTGCAGACGAGTCGATGACTAGTCCAATGATTTCACCATTCTTAAACTGGAATCCAAGGTGGCCTGTGCTGTCTTTGTGCAGAGTTACAGTTCGTTCAAATGGCCTAAAATCAAAGAAAAATAATCATTGAAAGAGGAAGAGTCAACATGAGATTTTGTGTGAGAGTCTTGTAATAGAGGCCCTGAAGCACTTAGTGTATATCGATAGCCGAGGAGCAAAACCACGAATGTCCATTGCAGTGATTCTAAATTTCTGATCCTTTTTCATTTTTCTTAAAAGGAAAAAACCAATTTTATAGCTTGAAATTCGTAAAGAATATTCTGCTTACAGAGAAGAAAAATCAAGGAAAATTTCAAGAAAATGCGTTGAAAAGTTTTCCAAAGAAAAAATAAAAATATGACGGGAATTCTGCAACATCGCAAACGGAGATCAGTGAGTTCACACTTCTGCCATTTCAGGGGTGCAGAAAATTCCCAACCACGCGACCGGCCGTTCGCGTGAAATGGGGGAACCCATGTGAGGACAAAAAAATTGGGGGAACCTTGGGAGGTTTTTTTTTTTTTTTAGGGTAAAGATGGAACTTGACTGTTGAGTGCGCTACTTTGAGGGAACTTAACTGTCAAGCGCGTTTTTCGCGCGCGCGTCTGTTTTTGGAGGAGCCAAACTGTTGACCGCGCAATTTTGAGGGAACCCAACTGTTGACCACGTCACTTCATAAGTAGGGCAAAATTCTGCAAAAACTTAAAATGGGGGAACCTAAATTTATTTTGGGGGAACTCTTGGAAGTTTCTGCACCCCTGTGCCATTCATTCGTAGTATTAATTTAGTATTAGAAACTATTTGTCGAACACTTTGTGAAAACAAAAGTGGCTTTATAGAGCCAGTTTGTCAAGTAAGTTGCTGGCTTTTATTTCACTTATTCCTGATAGGAAAACACCGTAAATTGCTTAAAAGTATCTTCCTACTATAAATTTTGCACCTCCTGATACCAATTTTGCAGATCGTACAGTTTTGGCGGTTTGTTGTCCTAATAATAACAAGGGATTTTTTTGTCCAGTTTTGACCTTAATTCTCCTAATTTTTGTCACGGATTAGGAATATAGATTTCCCTAAAAGGTGCATGGCAACAGATTAAGACTCGACCAGATTCTACGTTCACATTTATAAAGATCATTACCTGTCTCTTAACACCACTCGGATACCATTGACAGGGGCTTTTTTAAACAGACCATGGACTTGTTCCATTGTGTACCCAGCAACAAGCTCTCCATTTATCTGCAAAATCTGATCTCCGAATTTGATCCCGACTCTAGCAGCAGGGGAGCCAGCATCCACCAGGCAAACAAAGACTCCCTTATTGACTGCACATACCCGAATACCTACTTTCCCCTTTTCGTCTTTGCACAAGACCACCTGGAGAAAAATCAAGCAAATAGTTATTACAAATAAAATCAGACAGAAATAAATAAATACGAAAAACTAACTTCAATAATTTTTGTACACATACATACTCTCACAAGAGCCGCTTACAGGGTGCTTAAGAGCGCCCTCCAGGCTCTGCAACACCTAAACTCATCAGTCCCCTATCATTTCACAGCCTTTCAGGCAATAGGCATTCCCTCATTTCCAGAAAGACTCCCTGTTGCCTTTTTTTGAATAGACATCCCTTTCAGAAATAATATTGTGGAACAAAATTGTTTTATTTTTTACTTCCTTGCCTTATTTTCCTCTCAACCCTTTTTGTTTTTATTGATGGTTTGAGCTCTGAGAGCCTTAGTCTCAACCACTACAGAAAAAGAAAGAGTGCACTCGAGAGAGAAGAATTGACTGAGGCTGCTGCCGTGCCCAGAAGGGTTGATGTCCATAAGGTCAAAAGTAAACGACTGCCAACTTATCTGATGTTATTCAAAACCCTTTCTCACTATGTTCTTTGCCCCAGGAGTTTTCACACATAAAAAGACACCATTCCACTATGATTATTAGTGACATCCTGGCAGAATTTATATTTTTTATGGTTAGTGCCTGGATTAGAAATTGTATTTTAAACAAGAGCTCAATTGTATTCCATTTCACTCATTGCACTTGGGAAATAATGAGTAATAGAAATTGGCATCTTCGGTATTAACATATTGATGAGACTGGTTGAAAATACATACTTGTAGTTATGGCATTGTCAGTCTCCGCTCATGTTTTATTTTTTTAAAATTTGCCACCTGCCGTCAGTTCTTCATGGAATTCATTGAGAGGTCTCTTCATTAAAAATATCCACAGAATATTTAGAAAATATTTTATGGTATAGTTCCTTTTGAAAAAATTAAATTTAATCGGAGATTTTTGGATGTTGCAATGGAGATAAGCATTTATTTACTTTAGTTCTCAATATCTTATAGTACAATATGTATCCCTCTTCTCGTGAATTGAATAGTTTTCTTTCATCAAAATCCATACCTTTGACAATGTTAATTTTTATACAATATCATTGCCTCAAACATTATCATCACCTCAAACACTATCATTGCCTTAAACCTTATCACTGCCTTGACCCACAAATTACTCAAGAGTGGCTATTTTAAATTTATGTAAGAGGGTCACAGACTGCTATTCTAATATAGATAAGCAACTAAGACTAATAAAATTTTGAATGTTTACCTCCCGAATCCCATGAGTAACTTTAGCGCGCTGTAGACCAGCAGAATCACCTGAGATTGGAGCCACCATATTGTTGGGGGACTTAGTCGCAACAGCACTCTGGAACAATTGATTAATATGTATTTCATTCAGATGTCACAAAAAATGTTAACAATAACTGAATGAGAAAAAGATACACCATTTTTGCAGTAGTCAAATTACACTTTACTTCTGACTACAATCTTAGAGTCTGTTCTCATACTGACATCACACAAAAAAAGTATGCAAAATTGCTCCATCAATCCTGACTTTAAGAATAAGTTACAGGTTACAAGAATATTAACCTGAAAGGCATTTGAAGAATCCATGCACTGCAAAATTGGACAGAGAGTAGGAAGATTTAGTTTTTAATTTAATTTTAGAAGGAGAAAAATATTCTGGGAAAGGATGAGTGGCGAGTTCGACACTCATTGTCAGATAAAAATAATCTCTGAGATAAGATAGCCTTAAAATTTCTTGAGAACAATACATGATTGATACAGTAGTCTCTACCAATGAGTCAAAACCATTCTTGAGACACGTAATTTAAATAATGGATCAGCACTTGCTGAAGGTAAAGTCATTTAGTGTGGAAGAAACTTGATGTTTGTAAGGCTGATTGTTTATCATTCCTTCCTCTGCAGTTTCATACTTGTCCATTTTAGGTAAGAAAGATAGGCAAAATGTCCTTATCTTTAATTATTACAGGGAGTAAAATCTCATCTCAAAGTTATATACAGTCATAAAATGGACAGTTTTAACTGAAAGCAGCCTGACTACATCAGACATTGCCTCATATGCTCCCAGTGATTTTTTATTTTTAAAACAGAAAACTACGTAACCCTGCAACTTAAATTTTTTTTGTAAATACTCTTTGTAATCTGGAGTAAATTCACAGCAATTCAAAAGATGTTAAATGGTTTAGTTCTGGGTTAAAAAAATAAGACGCGAGAGAATTTTAGGCAACTTGACATGCAGTATGGCTGCTTCCAGCTAAATCTATCCAACTAGTCCACACAAATAGTTTAGTAGCAAAGTACATTCTTAGTTGGGCAATCGTCGTGGCGTTACATGGCACAGACGCCCTATTGCATAAAATGCTTCAATTGTCCTTAAAAATCCATCATTTCTCAGGATGGTACCTGAAGCTTCGGTGCTCGCAGCAAACTGCCTTGACCACTGCAACACCAAGACCAAAAAGCTAAATGATATGACAGTAGGTTTAAGTAGTGCCAATCAGCAATAGCTGGAGCAATAATGGAGATTTTTTTTCACCGCATAGAACCCCTGAAGGGAGTATCCAGCGCTTAAAATCCCATCCCTCTTCAGTCCCTACTCAACAACTAGCTCCAGGTAACCATTGTTGGAGAACTTGGATCGCCCAGCCAGGAATCAAACCCAAAGACTCCTAATCATAGAGTCAACGCTACAACCACTATGCCAAGTGATGCAAGATGCAAAGGGAGGTTTTCATAGAACGTATATTATCCAGGGTGTCTACTGAGGTCCACAAAAATAAAATAAGTACTTTTTAGGTACTTGAGGAAAAATTTCAGTACCTCGCCTTGGGGAAAAATTAAGTACTTTTTAAGTACTTTTTTGCGACGTATCGCAATTCTTCGATTTTGGCACTGCCGCACGCTTTACTTCGGATATTCCCGTGGCCTTTTCGGCTGTTTCCGTCAAATCGAGGGAAATGCCTTGTTCCGCTCCTCTACAACAACCGAGCTCTTACGGGCTGACATTGTACTAATGCGCCAGACGGCCAATGCACGGAGGGTTGCATAATTATCAGGCGATCGAACTGAACGCACAGCGCAAAATGCGAAAAATTATGGACCTTTCGCAAGATTTACGTACTTTTAAGGTACTTACGGACTGACCTTAGAAAATGCATACTTTTTACGGACTTTCCGGACTGGTAGACACCCTGTTATCGTTCACTACTTTTCAGTGAATGGTGCTATACTTACAGGTGGAGCTGTCATGACAGCATTGAACGATTCTTTGGGCATATTTTGAGAGAGGGCTTCAGGGGAAACATCCAGACCCATGTAATCGTCAAGAGTTGGGTACAGATGAGTTGATCCAGATACGTACGGCGGGGGTAAAGTAGGAGCAACAGGGTATGGTAAACCATTTTCTCCAGCAGACTGAGTTTCAAGCGTGGGATACATTGGAGCAGTGGACAATGGAGCCGATGGCGCGGAGGCATGATGCACTTGGCCATAATGTGTATTGTTCGACTGTCCATAGCCTGCAGCAGCGTATTGTGCCTGAAAATGAGAAAGTTAAACAAGACGAAAATTGATAAATTGCTCTTGGTATATGTACAGACACTGTTATAAGTAAGAATTTTTTTTTTTCATTAGTTTGTAGCGAGATCCCTTGAACATTGGAAATAGCTCATTTTGCCGTCCGACGCAAAAGGAACGAGTTATTTTTGATTTTTGGACAAAAAATTAAATTTGGCAACGTTTTTTAAAGACGGCAGCCTTAGCGGCAAAAATTGAAGGTAGCTAAGTTCAGATTCCGATTCAGCGCTAAAAAACACATAGTAAACAAATGCCAGAAAGTTTTTCGCAAAATTTGCTGGGTAAAATCGTAGATTGACTGAGTGAATTTAACCAATTTACGTAAAAACCAATTTTTGGCATTGCGTGAACAATAACTCCATGTTGACATGAATAAATTACAATGTTGGGTACCTAAGTACAAATCTAGTGAGCCTAACCAAAAATTTAGTCGTATTCTTGAGATTTAAGAACTTCAAAAAAAGATACATCATAAAATCACGATTCTTACCGAGGCTAGCTGATCCACTTTTAGATCTTCCAAAGACGGGTACAAAGACATTGTGAGAAACGATTCCTGAAAATCAATAAATCAAGGAATTATTTTCAGTAATGAGCAGTAAGAGATGTACTTTTTTAAGAATGGTAAGTAAGTACATTTCAAAATGATGGTATCGGTAATTGAGATTCATATAATGTAGGCGCTATCAGCATGATCAAATTCCAGAGAGAACTGACATTTAACATAATAAGAACAAGATTTTAGGATATTGGTGTCCAATTCAGTCAATTGATTTGAGAGATGAAGTCTCAAATACCTACCTGCAATGGATTGACAACAGATAATAATCCTAGCTGAAACAATAACACAGAGCAAGGCGGAACAGCAAAATATGGAGAATCTAAAAATTAAAATACACCAGGGGTATTTCTAGAATTATGATGCAAAGGCAGACATTCTAAAGGAGTGAGTCATTGCTCTCACTGAAATGTCACATGGAGGAAATGGGAATTCCAAAGATATTTAGGTGTCATTCCATGTCTGACAGAAAAAAATTCTCCATCAAATCCAAGATCAACTAACTACAGATTCATATTTACTGATAAAATGCATTGTGCTGAATAGGTTTAGCGGCTTTCGATGTGAGATAAAAGAGCTAGATCAGCTAGATGAACAGAAAAATTGTGAAGGGTTTTTACTGCTTGCTCTGGGTAGATAATAGATGGACTTGTTAGAATAACCAACACAGGAATAATTTCAGAGATGTGAAGACTTACGGAAGACGGACAAAATTATTTGGTGAATGATAATCAGGTATAAAAACTTGAACTGAACACGTTACCAATTACTTGCGATTCTCCGAAGCAAAAATAGATATTGCACTCAGCACAAAAAATGAATCAAGTTTGATTACGATGGGTAAACAAAGGTGAGTCATCAGCTGTTATCTTAGTTACTTGACGCTCTCTGGTGACACAAAGAACAACTAGGAATCAGAGGCTGCTAACGCCTGCAGTGATACAACTAATCATGCTCTAAAGATGTTTGTTTTGCATATATTCAGAATTGAAGGCGGTCGAGCCACTCTGGTCAGCACCAAAGCGTACACCGCGCTTTTAAAAGTCGCGAGCGAGTTTTATTATTGGTCAGTCTAGGAAAAGTTCAGAACAACCTCCTGCTCTTTCGTTTCACATAATTTTTGTATGAGAAGCGCCAAGAAAAATTGACACGTATGAAAGCGTGTTATCAAAACTTGGACACCTGCCTTGGTTGGTCTGATCTAATGCCTTTTGGTCGCAGGAAATTATGAACTTATCTATGGTAACGAAATCCGTAAAATAAAACGCTGAGGAATGGGGAGGGGGGGGAGAGAAAGAGAAGAGAAATTATGAAGGTTCGAGTTACATTATTTTGAAATGAGGGTAGGGGGCGTAGAGTGGAGGCAAAACCGATTTATAGCGTCGAGGGAAATGTTATTTTCGAAATAAGAATTGAATGAATAAAAAAAAAAAAAAAAAAAAAAAAAATTTTTTAAAAGGACTATATTATGAAATTGAAATTTTGAAAAATGTTGAAGAGAATGAGGAAAAATCCAACATTTTTCGAACGCCATGTGGGGCGAACTGTGCCCTCCCCGCTCCCCTCCTATCCTCGAGTTGTAAATGTGGTTATTTGATCCCCCAGAAAATCCGGACTTTAAATATATAATTCTACATTTCCCTAGTGCGAAATTTCGAAATGAGAGGAAAAGAAGAGAATAATGAGCTAAGTAGGCAGTGGTGCCAATCGTCTATGATTTCTTTTGTTTCTTTTACAATTAGTTTATGTTTTACTACTTTTGCCGCACGAGGCTAGACCTCTTGGCATTTTTTTATTTTGTAGTGGCCTTAACTTAATTTGTATTATGTTTTTTCTTTTATTAATAAATGAAAATCTGAAAAATCTGAAAATTTAATTAAATCGGAACATCCACGAAGTTTGGAAGATGAAAATTTGCGTGGGGGTAGCCTGAAAATGCGTCTAAAAAGTGTGGGGCCAAGTAGTTTCATCAAAACAAGTCGGCAAAATGTCTTCAATTCCATTTAATTTGAAATTGAGAATGGCTTAAAATTGCTCTCGAGACGTTCCAATTTTCAAAAAATTTTCGGTGGCCCCCCGGACTCTCTCTGCAGCTGGGGGAGCCCCCCAGACCCCCCTTGACCCGAGTTCTTTATTCTCCTATGCCCCCCCTCCCCAGAAAATTCCTAGTTCCGCCCATGGCTGCGTGCTGGAGGTCTCTACTTTTCAATCTTCAAGCACCCAGTTGCTCTTGCTCCAGCCAGTGGCGAGGCGTGAAAGATCGATTATCGATATTTCCCAATTTGAAGCTATGGTAAAGAATCCACTATCGAATACTACCGATTATTGTCTATCGATCTTTTTCCATAGGTTTAAATGACAGATCAATCGATACATCGCAAAGCACGCTGCGCCACTGGCGGCTCCACCCTCGTAGATTTCTTGAGAGAGCGAANGGGGGGGGGGGGGTGTGTGTGCCAAAATGATGTCATCACTCATGGAGATCGGTGGGCGCAAAAAAATTTCAGTATCATCCGTATCGCTCATCACGTATGAAAAAGGAGCGAAATTAAAAATTGCAGACGCTCCCGACCCACTGCGCAATCGGAAAACACGAGCAGTGCAGTGGCGTGGCGTGAATTGCGATATATCGATTGTTATGCCATTTAAACCCATGGGAAAGAATCGATTAACAGGGTGTTCGCAGCGAACACCTAAATAATCGATTCTTTACCATAGATTTAAATGGCATAACAATCGATACATCGCAATTCACGCCACGCTACTGACGAGCAGTTCCTTCAAGGTCAGTCCATGGACACGTCATCAAGAGGGAATCCGTCTACGAGCGCGGGCTGTGACGAGCTTTCAGAGGGAGCTTCGCGCTCGCGCTTCGATTCGCGGGGAAAACACCAGAGAGCGCTGGTGTTCGTATCCGAGGCGGCGCTATGATTTTTCGACGCAAAGCAACACGGGTGATTCTGCGCCTCAGTCTACAATCGGACCGCTCGCGAAATTGCGCGAACAAGTGAATTTGGTGACTCATAGTCGCGACGTCCGCGGATTTCGTCAGTGTTTACATTCCTTGATCTCCGATTTTAATAGACGACAACATGTTCGGTGGACTAGGAGGAGGTAAGTTTCGTAATTGAATCAGCGAGTTCGAAAACACACCAACTCGGGTTTTTTTTTCGATTTTCACTTTTTTACGGTTTAGTAACACTTTCGGATAGAAGCATCTGTACGCAAAAGGACATTTCGAAATTGCAATCGGAAGTGCTCGAAACAGCGACGGGAAAAGGGAAAAATCGAAGTATTTCATTGGAAATACCAATTTTTGGCCATTTCTAGGGAAACGGGTGACCATCCGATTTTGCAGTTTTCTTTTTTCGGTTCAGTATATCTTGTGCCAACAAGTTATATAAATATTTAAGCGTTATATTCAGGTCGAAAAATATAAATTTTTTAGGGCAGATCATGAAAAATCAGCATCTGAAAGTCGGTGAGAACGAAAACACGCCAACTCGGAAATTTTTAAACGTTTAATTCTCTGCGATCAAACATGGTGTATCGATTTCAACTTGGTGCTTTACAAAGTCCCGAAGTACTTGTTCTTTGGCATCAAAAAGGTTTTTCTTAAACTAACTTCTTCGCCCGCTGCGCAGTTTTAGGCGTTTCCTGAAGAATTTTTTTTTCTCCGAGTTGGTGTGTTTTCGAACTCACTGATTCAATTCTGAAGGCTTCTATCATTTTTAGTTGTTTTTGGCGTTTTTGAGAAGTCGGAATTTTCGCTCACTGCACTTTTCTTTTCATTGCGCCTTTTCTGCGTAAATTTCTCCATGCGCTCGTTTCTTACACCGTTTGAAATTCCACGCACCAGTAGATAGGTGTGCCCACTTGGTACATTTATACATCGATGGCTGAAGTGCGAAACCACATATCTCCGTTTGCGACGTTACAGACTTCCTGTCGTACTTTTTTTTTTCTTTGAAAAGCTAGTCAACGTAATTTCTTTAAAACTGTCTTAATTTTTCCTCTCTAAGAAGATTATTACGTATACAAACAAGTGATGAAGTTGGCTCATTGTTTTTATTCGGAAAAATAAAATAAGATCGGAAATTTTGAAACACCGCAATGGAGATGCGTGGTTTCAAATTTGAACGTCGATATATTTGCGATTTGAATGGACAATCTCGAAAAAGTCGATCTGTGTTATTTTCATATTTTACCTACTTTTTAAAAAAAAAGTGTTTAATATAATTTCTTGAATCGATTATGCTGAACCAATCAGTAACGGTGGATATATTTTCTACCAGCTTCGGATCTTGCCGCATACCGGGCTTTGAATTAGCCGTAGGTTGATTCAAATTTCTAATAGGACTTTCTCCAAACTTTTTAGCGAAAAAAAGTACAAGTATGAGATGCGCACTCAAATTTTTCCTAAAAAAAAACCATGTAAGAACTTAGCCACATTTGTCGTTCTTTAGGAATTTTAGGACGACAACGTTGTTATACATTTGAACAATCAAAGCATCTAATTGGAAAATTGACAATTGACAAGAAATCAGTAAAAGATTACTTATCGGCACAATAGGCAACGCTGGAATTAAGTTACGGTGCGAGAGAAACAAGAAAAGCGCATTTAGTCAGTGTCGAATGCGACGAACAATATCACTTTAATTCTTGGATACAACTATTCGGGCTCTACGGATGCCCGGGTTGCATATGCACGCAAGTGAAGGCGTTTTGAAAGTCTAGGCACTCACCACTTCACCCGCGGAACGCGGCGCGGCTTCGCTAAGAGGATCTAGTGGAGTTGCTAATGTACAAAAAAGATGATTTGTCTGCAGTATTGTGAAAAGAGTGAGTTCTATACATCAATCTCTTCGTCTTGATACGTAGAATCAGATTTTCGATGGTGTCAAGTTCAAAAATCAATCCGGCGCCCCCCATTCAAGATGGCGCCCAAAAGGGGCGCCGGGGGGTTGAAAAATTATAAATTTTCCTACAGAGTCGACTGAGGTNGGGTGGGCCGGCCCCGCGGTTCAAGGAATGACCTTGTCCCGGTTTCCGCTCCGACGAGGACCTTCCGACGATGAAAAACGACTCCCTCTGTCACTTGCCACCGGGGATCTCGCGTCCTGTGCTTTGCTGAAAGTTTCGAGGAGCTTGGAGGCTCCCTTTCGCTCGACAGCTCCGCGAAAATTCATCAACCCCGAAAATTGATCGATCCAACCCGGGTTCAGCCTCCGTTTCAGGCCGCTAACTGCGTGAAATAACGACGCGCTGTCTGGTCGGTTCGATGACTCCGAAGTCTTTTCATAAAAAGATAATCCATTTCTGAGAGGCGTATTCATAATAGCCTCTCATACTGCCGTGCTAAGGAAAAACGCCGTATGAACATTCGAGAGTTGCCAAATTTCTCCGAATAAACCATGTATTTTTGAGGAAAGTTACCTATGCACATTTTCCCTTGAAATTTTTAGATATTTTATATTATATCGCTACCAAAATTATCTGAAAATTTTGGGAAAAACTATTCACAATCTTCCCGGTAAATTTGACTTTTACTGACGGAAATATGGCAACGCCTGAAGTTGCATACGGCGTTCTTCCTTAGCACGGCAGTATACCTATCTTCTTCTCTCCTTAAGGGGGCCCTTATCAGGCTGGCAAAATTTCATGAAAAATAAAATCTTCAAATGTAACGTGAGATATTTCATGAAATTTCAGAAATTTATGAAAGACGTGGGAAAATATCGGTTCCTTTTTATGTTTCTAAAAATATAAAAATTGGGACTTTCTTCTATTTTTGTGTGTTTGAGTGCGGACATTTAAGATGGAAATAAGTGTACACTTGGTTCTCTATCTGAATGTGTCCAGATCATTCAGCATTCAGGAGAGGGAAACCAAATCATTAAACATTTGAAAAAAAAAAAAAAAATAGTAATAGAAATAAATGATGGTTTTTGCAGTGACCCGTTAGGTAAATTAAATGAATGACCTCGTAAGTTTTCTACGTCTTGAAATTTTGAAACGAAACATTTTCCCTAGGCGAAGTAAAACTAAGAAATTCCGTGGCAATTAGACCCCCTATTTTCCTAAAATCTTGCCCCCTCTCCGCCAAACTCAATCCAATACCTCTGCTGACAAAAAAGTTGTTCCTGTACTTACTTAAGTAAGATAAATTTCGATGAAAAGATAGGTTTGATTGATTGACTCAACGTAATTCAAGCATGGCACCGGACGTGATCCGTTCATATAAGTTGTCGCGTGATTGTAAACTAATTAAGATAATGGATTTCAATTAGCCGAAGAACACAAAGAGATCTCATCCAACACAGAAAGTTAGAACTTGGCTTGAAAACTCATACATGAGGGAAAAGTTTTGGAAAAAAAGAATGTGAGGCAAATGGTGTGCCCTCTCATAACTTTTTTCTTAACTAACCATTATTGTCTCAATTTTATGGGACTTGCTTCGAGTTGACTTTTTGCACATTTCGCTTGCAGTCATACTGAAAAAATGAGCAGCTTTTGATTAAATCTCACGCATTAACAGGCGCAGTAGGATGCGTTTACCGTCGGCATTGGAAGAAATCCTATTGGGCAAAATATTAATCGAAGCCGAGACTCTTTATTGCCTTAGGCCAACCGGTTAAATATTCGTAAAAAAAAAAAAAAAAAAAAAAAAAAAAAAAAAAAAAAAAAAAAAAAAAAAAAAAAAAAANAAAAAAAAAAAAAAAAAAAAAGCGCGGAGCGTTTTAGAAACAATTCCGATGATCTCAAACAGAATTATAGTTTAACCATAAATGGATGCATTTTTTTTTTGAGTGGAATCCACTAAGTGAGCTAAGCACGTGTGTGTTCTCTCGTTTTCTAAATTGAGCAATTAACTTATTAGAGGAGCTCTGACATGTTTTAATTTGCTAAAAACGTGTTAAAATGGGATTAGTCATTCTGTATGATTTTACCAGAGTGGTCAATTTTCTCACCTTTAAAATTCTTTCCATTTCAGGAAAAAAGTAGAAAATACTTTGAACTCTGCTCATCGCAACCTCTTTTTGTAGGTGTAGGGTACCAACATTTTTAGGGCGGACTTTTCCACAGACTATTTAGTGCGGATACGTCATCCTTCACTGGAAAAAACAGTAGCTTGGATCTAGAGTCCAGACTCTGAAAACATTGACAAGAAAAAATACTTTTGATTCAATCGGATTTTTGCTTAAATCGAGAGCCAAGCCTCTTAATTTAAGCGGATTATTTTATGGTTCAAGCAAAAATCCGATTGAATCAAGAATATTTTTTCTTGTCGACATTTTCAAGAGTCTGGTTTCTAGATCCAAGCGACTTTTTTTCCAAAGTTACGATATTCGACACATCGATTCCCGTCGATTCCAACCAAATCAGTGGGACATGAACTTTAAGTCTACTTTATTGGTACACTTCATTCTGTCAATTCATCACGATTATTCACGATTTTGATATCAACAAACCATATTGATATTTTGACAAATGCGAGAAATTTCATCGGCAAGAAACACTCAGGCGCATTGTGAATAATAGGTTTTTTTTTTTTCATTATAATCATATTTCTCATATTTACTATTTCATTGATTTTTTTTTTTTAAAGTAAAATATACCTACCTATGTAAATCACTTTTTTTTTTTACTTGCCTTGAATACGATCAGGTTTTGTGTCTTTTTACATTGACACCATAATCAAGCAGTGATGAATATCAAGCGAAGTGGCCTTCAATAAATTAGTCCATGGAGGCTCCTCTCTTCTTTGTTAGGAAGTGGCCACAGAAACAATAAGTCACCTCGTCCCTTCCACAAAAAGTCCTTAAAATCATCTATGAATGAGTAGAGACAACGGCGTAGAATCTTCTCACACTTTTTAAAGTACTGCGCCCAGCAATAATCTGCAGTGGAAGCTGACGGCTGCACTTGGTTGGTATAACTGAACTTGAACTTGAGGTATTCTATGCCACCAATCAAAGCAGCGCACAGTGGAGTAAATCGGTGAGATTATCCGGACGTGATGCATTGACTTCTAAAGCTCATGTTGATGGCTAAATTGCGAAATCACATAACTCCGTTGCGATGTTTCAAATTTTCCGCTCAGATTTTATTGT